TTGGTTGTAGGCGCCGCATCCGCTCCTCTGAAGAGAAGCAGAGACATGAAACATGTTAAATAAACACACATCCCAAACCTGTGCAGTGGAAAGGATTCTGGTGTAGTGATGAGTGTGTGTTACCTGCTCTCTTTCCCGGGGTTTCGGCAAACGACATTAGCTGACGCCATATTCCAGCCGTTGCCACATACAGGCATCGTTCCCTTCTCCGTTTTTATCATGACCACATTGTGCTTTTTAGATTTCCTCAGTTCTACCTCCACCGTGTGCTCCTCTGGACACAAACACGTGAGAATCACACACCAAATCATCAAATCCCATCGGTTTGACCCGCAACACACTCTTTGAGTCGTCAAAAATACTGTGCTGTGTTTTTCTTGAAATCGGATGATTATATGTCATTTAGGGTCATAAACATGCAAAGTTTCAACTCTCAGTGACGTGACGTCTAATGTGCGTACGCTGTTGATATTGGTTTATTGATCTCCTGCACTGACACCATTATATGAGAACTGAACCCAGCTGGACGATGACATCACGGCTATATAAATATATACAAATGAACCAAATAACTTTTTTTACATCAAAAATGAATCATCACTGAACTTACTAAAGCTGGACTATGACGATATTGTCTTTTGGATCAGAACTAACGGTATTATTTCCTGTTCTCTCCGTAAAGCTGCTTTACTGTAAAAAGCGCTGCATTCATAAAGCTGACGATATGGCATGTTAGTAAAGTTCATATTTTAAGGCAGTAGCACAGACCCAAAATAAAAACCCCCAAATCATGTATTTTGTCATGTCAGTTTCTAAACTGCCATGATGCATTTAGCTTCATAAAGCATTTAGATAAAGATAGCGTTTAGCTTTATCTTTAAAACATGTTTAAAAAAGTATGAGGATTCAAAGAACATTCAGAAATAACCTTTTCATGACATTATGACACCATTTTCAACTAAAAACGTCAAACTTTTTATGCGTTTTGCCCGTTCTTTTACACGACAACGGCATTTTGGGCGACTGAAAACACAAACTTTTGAAAACGGACCTTTGAAAAAGGCGATGACATCATGCATGATTATTACATGTTTGTCAATCTAAGATAAAGAAGGAGTGTGTCCTCACCTGTGCAGGCTGAGCTGAAGTGAGAGAACACGGGCTTGCTGGATCTGCAGGAGATGGCTTTGGTCTGACACATGGAGTAATAGTGGGATCCGTCCAGAGTACACGCCTGCTTATCCTGACGGGGACACTTGTACGGCATCTTACAGACACACTGTCCCGAGATACAGCGCCTCCATGGAGGACAGAACACTTTTGAGCAGGACCACCGGGTGTGCGGACACTTAACCGGTCCCTCAGCAGATTTTTTGGGGTTTGATGCTTTCTTCGACTCAGCTTGGGTTGAATCTGTTTTCTCCTCCACGTTTGGATGCGGTTTGACTATTAAGTGTGACTCTATTTTCTCCCCCTCACCTGCACTGGTGCCTGTGGTTTCTGGGTTTGCCACTGGATCTGGACTCTGACTTGGCTCTGGTGGCGCTGGACTGCTAGTTTGTGGGGTTCCCTCGGGTGCTAGATCTTCCTCCAGAGTCTAATAAGATAAAAACAAACTTAACTTAATGTCAAATGCACATCAATCCATTAACTATGGATAAGCTTGTTTCTGCTACGGAATATAAAAGGGAATTGCTACTTTTTACCTCGCAATTTTATTTTATAAACTCACTATTCACTACTCAACTATTACCAAACATTGCAGCTTTAATGTCAGAATTGTGAGATAAAGAGTGGCAATTACAAGCTTCATAAGCTTGAATAAATAAGAACAGTAATGAGGCATTAATCTAAATGATGGTAGAACTTAATACTGTAGGAAAATGAACATGACGTGAGTAAGAGAAGTAGATTCATTTGTCTGCTAGTATAGTTTGATAATAAACTGGCGAATCACATTTGAAACAAACAGCAGGAGTAACAGGACCGGCCCAATCACAGAGCTCTGATGCCTGAGGATGTCTTCTCACAAAAGCACCATCACATACTGTAACGTTAGTCAATAATGTTATGCCTTAAAATTCATCTTTAATCACCAAATGACACATTTAAGTGTTTATGTTCACATTTAAGTTCAGTGTTTATGTTTAATTACTAATACTGTTAATGTACAGGTATTCTGTACTTATTTAGTCAATTTAACAGAAATTGCAATTATTAAGTACTTAATTAGAGAAGTTGTGAAATTGGATGTGTAAAAATAAAAATGAAGTTTTACATCATTGATTTTAAACAGAAAACTATATTTTAAGGGAAAATTACTGTAGAAAGACAACATTATTACAAAATAACTTTATAAACCCTAAATTTACAGTTTAAACTGAAAGTCAATTTATGTAATAATGTAATGCGTTTAATGTAATTTGACATAATTTATGCATTTTCCACATTTGATAAGCCATTATCAACAATCCTGTAATTTAATTAATTTTGACTGTAAAGAAGATTTTGACTGTTTTTTTTTTTTTACCGTTTTTGCATTTTTCTGTAATTTTGTGAAATGTATTTGCTGTAATTTAACGGAATCCGTCTGGAAACTGTCTGACATTTACCGTTGGTTTACGGGATTTTTATTTATTTATTTTTATTTTTACAGTGCATGGTTTGTCTTAAAAACACCATAGACACATAAACAACATTAAAAGTTGGATTTTCAATACAAGGGGACTTTAAAAATAACATGAAACTACTTTTATCCTAAATCCTTTGTTATTAATATAATATTTATATTACATGAAAACATTTGTATCGTTAGGCTAGTGTCTGCGTCAGCAAAACACCAAATACATTTTGGGAAAAATAATGACTAGGTTTTCAAGACATACCGACGCAGGCTTGACGATCACGGTTGAGTTTAATATGATGATATGAGAAACAGAAACTCACGGCGGTGTGGAAGAGGAGACACATGAGGAGTGCAGCGAGGACCGTCATGACTCCTGCAGCTCCGGCTCTGCTCTGCTCTTTGACCAACTCGATGATGATGTGCAACACTCCAATGATGTGCAAATCTCTGTGATATAGGGGTCAATGCCGTGACAGTTTTTTTTTTGTGTGTGTGTGTGTACTAAGTACATTATTGCCTTTTAAAATAAATTAAATATAGTAGTAGGCAATTATATATATATATATATATATATATATATATATATATATAATATATTAATCATCTGTTTCTATGTGAATATAGTAAATTGTAATTTATTCCTTTAATCAAAGCTGATTTTCAGCATCATTACTCCAGTCTTCAGTGTCACATGATCCTTCAGAAATCACTCTAATATGAGGATCAAGAAACATTTTCTGGTTTTCGTAACATTTTGCTGTTTACAGTAGCCCATCTCACTGTGAATGTCTAGAGGAACATTCATCGATTACACAATGATGTTTTTGCACAGAAATGCAACAGTATTTCTCCACCGGAAGTAACAGGCATAAGCGCTGAACTTATCGGAAACCCGAGGTTCAGAAGGACAGTAGCCTAAATAAACATTCATTGAGTTTGTTTAATTATTAACTTGCATTTCAATCAGAGTCTCAAATAAAACGAATCCATCTGGACTGAGATTTCAAAGTGCTGACAGAAAATAAACATATTAAGAATATTAAAACAGCTAAATTGTGTATTGAGTCAGAAATAAGTAGCCTAATTCATATGTTTGTTAATGATACAAATGATATGGTTGAATTTCTGATGTTTAGTCGCTATAATAACTCAATCCAGCGAATTGAATTTCTTGAACAGAGCTTGAGAGCACATCAGATCTATAGGCTACACTCTTAATGAATCTTACAAATGCTAAATTAATTCATAAAAGTTTCCAACCACTACAACTGGAAAGCTTGATGTAAAACTAAGGACTATGTTGATTACTTGACAGATTTAAAAAAACGGATGATAACACTGAAGAGCAACCTTAAACACAGATCAGAAATAAAACAAGAAAAACAAACAAAAGCATTCCAACGATCATCTGTCCAAACCGCCGCGGCCACGAGCCGATCATCCATAAGTAGATCTGAGTGTTTGATAGAGTGGGAAAGTAATTATATAGGCCCTATAAGCTCTTATAAAACATGTTCCCTAACAACACAAACACATTTAGCTAATTCTTTCCATCAGATGAAAACATTTCTGAATTACAACACATCCAGCATTGGTAAGTTTAACAAACAACACTGAGCTTACCACAACACAATATACCATTCCCAACATGATTAGTAAGCTGTAGATAAACCACATATTAAACAGGGTCACTGTCCTGCAGAGTTTAGCTCCAACCCTGATCAAATGTTTCTAGTGATCCTGAAGACCTTAAAAACTGCCGACTGTTTATTTACAGTACCAAGTGTTTACTTGCAATACCGTACTTTAGCCGTAATATGCAATTACTTCCCACTGTACTTTTACTCGGATAGTTTTTGTCCAACTTGATTTGCACTAAATCCATCTGTATATATATTCATAGTACATTCACCTGTAAACTCTAACTGCTTATAGTAACAACCTGTATATTATTTTTATTTTTATTGCACATATCTGTAAAATTCTGTTGATAGTGATATAATATTCATCAGTATAGAGTATATTATATTCAATACATATTACCACAGAATTAGGCTGTGTGATAGGAAAAAATACACCAGGCCTACCGCGCTTTTTTAAATCAGTAGCCATAGGCTATTGGTTCCAATTTCAATCACGATTTTGAACCAATATTTTCTTACACAAACTTTTGAAGCGGCTTTATTGGCTAATGGCGTCCGCCACCATTTCCTAAAATTTTAGGAACTTTATTCCCATATTCCTAAAACTAAACTAACACACCAAATTAAAGTAAAATTCAGTGTTGGGAAATATATGATAGATATTATTGAACACTTTTATGAATTCTTACAACGCAATGTTTTGAGATCATGACGCTTGGGACGCTCCTCACTGAAGTTTAAGCCTTGCCAATTTAATTATTCAAGCACAAGAGTAATACATAATTATACATTTTATTTAAAGGTGTGCCGTTCAAAACACTCATGGACACCATACAGTTGAGTGCAGTCATAAAAACAAAAACTGTTTAACATTACATCATTTAAAAGCTCTTCAGATCATCTTGCGCTTGAACACATTCACTCAAAATTATGTAAACGAAAAAGAGTCATTGTAAACAGTCGGTTATGTCTTAAGTGAACATTAACAGTAGAGATAAAACGATCAGTTCAGTATTAAAGCGACAGCCCCAATATTCCTGTCAGTGTTTCTAATCTCTGAAATAATCACTCGCTATCTTGAATGAACAACTTCTGTATAACTTTAATAAGGATTAACATGTTAATTTATACAAGGAAGATTATATGCAGGGTTATTTTACATTACTCTTAATGTTTTAAATGTATATAGTATTTTCAGCTGGAATCAACATCGGAATAGAGAATTGTGCTTTTTTAGTTTCCCGCCATAACTTCTTTCTGCTCACGGCTTGATTTTATTACGATTCGGATTAAACGCACATCCCTATGGATTATAAAGAAAACAATTATACTTGTAAAATTGGATAAACTGTATTTGATTTTTATAGAACTTATTAAACATGCACACACACTGAAACAGTCCCAGCCCGCTACATACGACCGACCCCAAAAAACATAAGAATTAACATCAATTAAATTTGAACCACACAACAAACCCTTAAAAAAAACACCTTACAATATTTATTGCACAATATATTATAGTTCTCAGCATGATTGTTGTTGGCTGTTCATTATTGCTTTCAAACGATTTTTTTATGAATTGCTTGGAGCATCAAATCTAAACGTCTAAGTAAGACAGTGGACAGACCATGCAAACACACTGCTAAAGACACATGGTGAAACACACACACACACAAACAGAGGCACACACTGAAAGACACAAGCAGACACACACATATTTGGTCTTTAAAGTAAAACGTTACATTCATTAAAGCAGCTGTTGTCAGATTGTTCAGACTGCGGTCTGAGGGACAGGTATGATGGTGATGATGTCAGAACAGTGGCTTTGGTTGGAGATGTTCAGTGAAGCGCTTCTCTACATGTGGCTGCAGCTGCTCGGGATGTGCTTGTCTCTTCAGGTCACGCTGGTGCTGAACGCCGTCCTTCATCACGGAGAGTTAGCGGGAGAACCCTTCAGACTGCTGAGAGCCGCGTGGATGCGGAAGTGAAGCCGCGACTCCATCGAATAATCTTTATAATTCAGCCTACAAACACACAGTCAACTCCCAAATCATTACATGACTACATGAAGAGTTCAGATGCAAAAGCCTCTAAGTGCCATTTGAAATTTTCTTCTAGAATGATCATTTTTATCAAGCTTGTATATTTAAGTTCAGTAATTTCACTTAAATGGCAATGGTAATTACCTATTAATTGTTATTGAAGTGAAATTACTGAACTTGAATATACAAGTTTGATAAAAATCATCATTAAAGAAGAAAATTTCAAATGGCATTTAGAGGCTTTTGCATCTGAACTCTTCACATGTCTTTTCCAAGATGTCCTTTTAAACCACAGTAAGGATAAATTATTTAACTTTAATGACTATTAATTCAATTTGACAAACTCAGACTCTTTGACGACCAGCTTTCTTTTTTACTTATAACAAACGATCATATTTTCATTGATACGTTTACTCTCACTTACAAAACCAGACGATATTCAAATCTCTAAACGGAAGAAAATCGACTGACATTTAATTCTCGTAATAGAACAAAACTGACCAATATTTAAATCTCTAAGCTTGGAGTTGTGCTCGACTTCAGAGGGGATACACACATACAGTCCTGCTCTCTCACACACACACACACGCACACACACACACACACACACTCCTGTGGTTTTAAAGTAAGCTTGAAGCACTTTTTGTCTTAATCAGGTGTGTTTGATTAGCGCTGAAGTGAACAGTGTCGTGTGAAACGACTCACTTGGCTTCCTCGATGAAGCGTGTAGCCTTGATGTAATCGCCCTGTTGCTTGTAGAGTAAACCCAGCTCAAACAGGCTGAAGGGGATCAGATAGTGATCGTAACGGATGCGCTTCTCACTGCAAACACACAGTCATCATCAAAACACTGCAAACACTCTTCCTCATTCTAAACAGTCTAGATCTTATCTTATAACAGGTCATCTGTTGTGAAATTTCAATGAGACGTTAAAAAAAAGATAGTTTCAGGCTATAATAGAGTTAAATAACGTGGTCAATGAGTGACGCAGGCCGCGGCTGGTTGTGGATATAACATCAGATTCAGAACTCAAACTAATGTACTATAATTTAATTTAACATTTTCACAACCCTCTCACAATGCTTTTACAGTTTGAAAGTGTGTAAGTGATTGTGTGTGTGTGTGTGTGTGTGTGTTTACCTGCTGATCACCTGTGTGAAGCACAGTTCGGCCTGCAGTAATCTGCCCAAATGTTTCAAACACAAACCCTTTAACATCTGCACCAGACACTGGTCATCAGGGTGAAACTCAGACGGGTCTGAAACACACACACACACACACACACACACACACACACACACACGTTTGTTTCTCATGGGCACTGCATCAAGAGCGTAGGTTTGATGTTGACAAACCACTTTTGACTGCAATTTCATCTTCATCTTGCACACATTACGTAATCAGGTTGAAAGGTCACACGTGATGTAACTGGAAGTACAGACCTAGTGTTTACAAAATGAACGTCAAACGCAATTTACAAAATAAATATTTTTTTTAAATAAAAGGTAAAACTACAATGTCGGACAATCGATGGTGATTTTGAAGCTGCAGGAGAAAGAGTTTTTCGCCCTATCCTACATTTACAAACAGGAACACGCCATCCATCCATCCATCCATCCATCCACCCATCGAGTTCGTTCATCCATCCATTCTCCCATCCATCTGTCCATCCATCCATCCACCCATCGAGTTCGTTCATCCATCCATCCATCCATCCACCCATCCATCGAATTCGTTCATCCATCCATCGAGTTAATCCATCCATCCATTCACCCATCCATCCATCCATCGAGTTCGTTCATCCATCCATTCTCCCATCCATCCATCCATCCATTCACCCATCCATCCATCCATTGAGTTCGTTCATCCATCCATCAATTCACCCATCCATCCATCCATCCATCCATTGAGTTCGTTCATGCATCCATCCATCCATTCACCCATCCATTCACCCATCCATCCATCCATCCATCCATTGAGTTCGTTCATCCATCCATCCATCCATCCATCCATTGAGTTCGTTCATGCATCCATCCATCCATTCACCCATCCATCCATCCATCCATCCATTGAGTTCGTTCATCCATCCATCCATCCATCCATCCATTGAGTTCGTTCATGCATCCATCCATCCATTCACCCATCCATCCATCCATCCATTGAGTTCGTTCATCCATCCATCCATCCATCCATCCATTCACCCATCCATCCATCCATCGAGTTTGTTCATCCATCCATTCTCCCATCCATCCATCCATCCATTGAGTTTGTTCATCCATCCATCCATCCATCCACATAGGGATGGGACGATAACCGGTTTCACGATAAACCGTGATAAAATGTACTGACGGTTAGTATTATCGTTTAAAATTTAATTATCATTAAAACCGTGTTTGATTATCGCGATTTTAATAACTCACTGAATCCTGTCGGCCAGTCTGACGCAGGCGCGCAGCACGCAATATTTTTTTTTAAATTACTATTCGAGAAGGAATGGTTCAGCCTTTTAAGAGGACCAAATCTGAGGTGTGGTCATATTTTGGGTTTTACAAAAAACGATTAAAAATAACTTTTGGAAATAACAATCACAGTCCTGGACAGTGAGTGAGCTTACACATTAAGATAATATTGGATTTTCTCCAGTCATTGTTAAAAAACAAGCTAACAATCCTTGCTAACTAGCGTTAGTGAAGCGGCCAGATGGATCTTTCTGCCTCCACCTAAGCTCCGCCCACAAAAAAACGTCACCATGTTTACCAACTGTAAAAGGGTCTATAGAATCTTGGTTAAAAACTGCATAGAGAGGCTTGTTTTATTTGTTGTTTGTTGAATTTCAATTATAAAACTTGTTGAAATGTTTTCAGTGTGAGCATCAGTTCTTTTTGAGCACTTTCATAAATTTTTAACAAAACCGTGATAATATTGATAATCACGATTATTTTGGACACTATAATCGTGATATGAAATTTTCATACCGTCCCATCCCTACATCCACCCATCCATCGAATTCGTTCATCCATCCATCGAGTTAATCCATCCATCCATCCATCCATCCACCATCCATCCACCCATCCATCCATCCATCCACCCATCCATCCACCCATCCATCGAGTTCGTTCATCCACCCATCCATTGAGTTCGTTCATCCACCCATCGAGTTAATCCATCCATCCATCCACCCATCCATCCACCATCCATCCATCCATCCATCCATCCATCCATCCATCCACCATCCATCCATCCACCCATCCATCGAGTTCGTTCATCCACCCATCCATCCACCCATCCATTGAGTTCGTTCATCCACCCATCGAGTTAATCCATCCATCCATCCATCCATCCACCCATCCATCCACCATCCATCCACCCATCCATCCATCCACCCATCCATCCATCCATCCATCCACCATCCATCCATCCACCCATCCATCGAGTTCGTTCATCCACCCATCCATTGAGTTCGTTCATCCACCCATCGAGTTAATCCATCCATCCATCCATCCATCCATCCACCATCCATCCACCCATCCATCCATCCATCCACCATCCATCCATCCATCCACCCATCCATCCATCCATCCATCCACCCATCCATCCATCCATCCATCCACCATCCATCCATCCACCCATCCATCGAGTTCGTTCATCCACCCATCGAGTTAATCCATCCATCCATCCATCCATCCATCCATCCATCCATCCATCGAGTTCGTTCATCCCCCCACCCATCCATCCACCATCCTCTTCCGCTTGTTCGGGGCCGGACATCTTGGATGACATAAATGATCAAGATATTTAGATTCGGAAGTGAACTCCTCCTTTAATCTGATCGTGACTCACTGGGATCGTTGCGCAGCTGCTCCTCCGCTCGCTCGATGGTCACCAGTAAACTCTCCGTATAATCCGCTCGTTTCCCAACGATGGTGAAGCCGTTCCACACGTACATCATTTCCTGTGTGAGGAACCGTAGATGCATGACTTCCTGCCCTCTTGATTTACTTGTGTTTATTTGTTGTGTGTGTGTGTGTAGCTGTGTGTGTGACGCACCAGCGCAGGGATCACCAGTTTGACTGGCACGGCCGCCGAGTATCTCCGGGATTTCCTCACGGCAAACTTCTCCGTAGGGATGGACTTCCCGGCCAAACGCTGCTTCAGTCCCTCCACCTGCCTGAGGAACACCATAGCATCAGCCACACACACACACACACACACACACAGCCCTGAACAGACCGAGCGAGAGACACACCTGAACAGATCCACGATACTCTCTCCGGTCACCTTCACCTCCTCCTCCGACATCATGCTCAGAATAGCAGCTTTCTGATACACGTAGATGGCCTGAAACCAACACACACACTCATCATGCTTCAGGAAAGTGTCTTGTGTGTGTGTGTGTGAGCGAGCGAGCGTGTGTTACCTTAGACCAGCGGCTCTCTCTGCACAGTAGATCAGCGTATCGGTACGCATCGGCCCACTGCTGCTGGAAGGAGTGACACCACATCAGCTCCCAGTAACACAGATGATGCACCTGACGCCACTGCTGCTGCGCACCGACACACTCCTGGAACTTCACCACCGCCTGAGGGACACACACACACATTACCACACGAGCCACCGCTGCACACACGAGCACACGCGTCACACACCCTCACCGTCTCGAAGTTTCCCCTCAGTAGGGCGATCCGAGCCGAGTAAAACAGGATGATGGAGCCCTGCAACACAAACACACAAGCTGAAGAAAACAGTGACGGATTACTGAACAGAGTATGCGTTTGCTGTTGATTGGATGCTCAGATGTGGGCGTGGCTTTCAAATATCTAGGCGGGGCTGAGTGTGAGCTTCAAGTGCATTGAGGAAAGGGAGTGTGTGTGTGTCAGTGAGTGAATGAGAGTATGAGTGAGAGAGTGTGTGTGTGTGTGTGTAAGATTGTCTGGGCTCCAAGCATCATATTTGTGTTAAATGCATCAAAGCTGCCACAAAACAAGGAGCCCTGCACGTATCTGTGTGTGTGTGTGTGTGTGTCGAGGTTCTCACTCGAGGAAATCTCTCGATGTACGGCTCCAGCAGAGCTTCGGCCTCCACCAGGTTTCCCTCCCCAGTGCCTGAAACACAATAAACACTCAGTATTACGACACAAACAGCAGCTGCACGAACAGGACAACTTCACAATAAACACAAACACAACACACCACTTTACCACGATTTTCAGACTGGAAGCTTCGAAAGTAAATGAATATGAATTACATATATATATAATTCATATTCATTTACTTTCGAAATTAATTAAATTAATTAATTTTTTTTAAATTAATTTTTTTAAATTAATTTTTATATTAATTTCAGTTGTATGTATATATATATATATATATATATATATATATATATATATATATACACACATATATATATATATACATACAACTGAAATTAATATATTATTCAAAAACTTGCCATTGCATTATTTCTCATTTTCATTTAGTTTAACTCGATATACAAATAAAACTAAAAGTGAAATAAAAAAATTCATATTAACAAAATATCTAAAATAAATAAATTAATAAATAAAAGCTTGTTAATTGTTTGAAATTGAAGAAATTAAGACAATACTAAAAATATAAATATTAGCATTCTAATTTTACAGTTGCACTGTTATCATATTTCTCATATAAACTGAAATAAACAATAATAACTATACAGACATTTCAAATATAAATAAATCAGGGTTATTATTGTCAAAACAAGAGAGTGTTTAAATTCTATTAAAATTAAGATAAAATCAAATATTTAATGAAAAACAAAAAAAAATATAAACTTATAAATAAATGAACTAAAACTGGAACTGAAATATAAATACATGAAATTTAAATAGCAATTTAAAAAAATACATAAACTGACAAAAGCACAATGAAACGACTAAAAATTTGACTAAAATTAACATTAAAATAAAATAAAAAAGCCAATTAATAAAATTATTTAAAAATACACTGATATATACACTATTTTGCCAAATGATTCGCATTGTCTGCCTCTACGTGACCCCTCCACCAAACAACCCCGCACCGTAACCCCCCCTCCAACAAACAGAAACAGTGTATATAAATATAAATATAGCTGATTTTTCTGATGGCGTTTTCCTCTGTAACTAAAAGTGTGTTTGAGCGCTGGTTACCGAGGATCAGAGAGACGTAAGTGTTGTAGAAGAGCAGCGTCAGCACACACAGGATTGATCTGAGACTGTGACCAGCGGCGCCGTCCCGCAGCTGAGACAGACCGAACTCCTGCGGGAGGGAAACGGCCCCGTTAGAGTGTGTGTGTGTGTGTGGATTACATTATAGGTCGACCGATTGATTGGGCGATCAGTGAGCAACACACACCCAGTCTCACAGCGAGCGGATCGTAAACTCTTCCTCAGACACTAGAGCCATATTGAGTTATATCAATACTGTTGATTATAAACATGGGGCACGCTTCATATTTAAATATCGGCCGCCGTGATTTCTAAATATCGGCCAGAGAACAGCCCACCTCGGTCGACCTCTAGATTACATCTTCAATAAAACACTCGTATTTGGGTTAAGGAGTGAAGTGTGAAGCTTAAATTCGTTCTCCGCTAGTTACTCACTCGGTTCCCTGAGAAGCCGATGAACTCCAGCAGTCGAAGGATCCGTGCCGGCAGTAAAGACAGCATCTGCACACACAGGTCAGAGTTCAAGCATCACTTCAAGTCCAGTTTATCCACATGTACAATGACTGGGTCATTTCTGCACTTCCTGTCTCATGAACTGACCAGGTTGAAGGAGCCAATCCCCAGCTTGACTCCGCCCTCAAACTGTCTGAAAGCCTCGCAGTCTCCGCCCACTCCCTGAGGCATGTTCGACACACTCTGGCAGTCCCTAAACACACACACACGAGAGATGTATATGTTCTAATGTATTTTATCTCAAAATGTACTAAATTGATTATTTATTGAAAACAGTTGATCACAAAAAATATATCATCAATTATTATATTAAATTAACATATATTAGTATAAATTCTATTATTTTAAATTGTATTAAATATTATTAGATAAATGTCAATCATTTAACAAACAAGTATGCATTACTTCATTGTAATTTGTACATAGTTTAATACATTTTTTGCTAACTGTGATTTGTATATGGTCATTTCTGAAATGCATAACTCGTTTAAAAGCAGTTTTACCGTCCATGTGTACATGTGTGAAAAGTGCTATACAAATAAACGTGAATGGAATTATTTTATATTATTTAATGTTATATTAAAATACAATAATATATTGAAAAAACGGTTTATAATATAAATATAATATTTGTACAGCTTTCATGCAGTATATTAAATCATATTTTTAATTCAGGCAACAACCATCCATTAATTGTTGATTTCAGACTCACTTGTAAATTTGATAACTTGTGCGTACTTTGATTCCTCCTTTAATAAAACTGATCATGTTTTCATCCTAAAATAAACAGAAGGCAGTGATGAATGTCTTATATTTCTTAATATCACAGAAGCTTGTTTCTAGAAAGGGTAAACTTGCAATTGCCTCTTAATTATGTGGACGAAACAAGCTTCCATAAATCTTGATTTATTATTGAAATATATTATTTATTCCTCTGGCAAACATTTCATTGTTAATATTATTTTACTTCACTGGATAAAAATAATTTTCTTATAACTCAAGAAACACTGAGCAAAGAGTTTCTCTTGTTTTCAACGTCATGTAAAATGTATTAGATTTATGCTTAAAACAAACAAGAAAAGATTATTTGCTAAGCAGGAATATTAGTTAACTAAACCTGAAACAACAAACATAAAAAAACAACATTTCCATAACACAAATAAAATACAACATAAAAAACTTTAGGCTAGTTAAAATATTACAAACTACAATAGTATTTCACTGATATTATGATAATTGAAATAGATAAGACGTGATTTTATATTTTAGGCATGGTTTAGTAATATGAATAGCCGGACACATGGCGCATGCAGATGTTATTTTGGAAACACTTTACACTTTAATGTATTAACTAACAATGCGCAATACATTTGTTAATGTTAGTTCATAATAATACAGCCATTCGTTGTTTGTTCATGTTAGTTCACAGCGCAGTAACTAATGTTACATGATTTTAATGATGTATTAGTAAATGTTGAAATTAACATTAACAAAGATTAATACATGCTGTATAAATGAAGTTCATTGTAACTAATGTTAACTAATGTAACTTATTGTAAAGTGTTACCGTTATTTTTGTGTGTATTTTGTTTGATTTCATTGGTTTGTGTGCGAGTGTGTGTGTTTTTTGCTGCTGTAACATGTTGAGTTTGGATTACTAATGAAGTATCGTATCGTATTCTAAGAAAAAACTGTTGCCAAGTTATTAGTCAAGCCGACGTAAACACGATGGACTGAAGTGAAACGGGTCACTGACCTGTACAAATGTTAGTGTGGCTTTCTGCAGCAAACACTCAGCGTAGCAGATCTCCGCATGCATCTCCTCTGCACACACACACACACACACACACACGTAAGAACTGACTGGCTGCACTGTGCCAAGTGCAAAGTTAGATGGAGGTGGTGTGTTTGAGCAGAAACATGATCGTGACTCTCCTGTTCGAACTTGAACGAATCAAAATGAATGAATCTTTTTCCAAGTCATTTGGTTCATTCAACGAACGAAACAAACGGATTGACTCGGAAAAAGATTCGTTCATTTTGATGAACGAGTTCGAACAGGAGAGTCACGAATGCGCATCACAGAACAGAGCAAGGCGAGCATTTGTGGGGGCCATGGTGAGGGGTTGTTCGGTGGAATATTAACTCCATATGTAACCCTACAGATTAAGAATGGGGCATCATTAAAGTTCATGTGCACACACAAACGCATTCAGACCCGTACAGTCTCACACACACACACCGTCTCTCAGGCTGTCTGACGGCTGTTTGGACAGCAGGCTGGAAATGGACCCGACCACTGAGTTTCTCTTCCTGAACCTGCGGACAGACGGAGAACATCAGATCATCAGAGTCCGGAAGCTTCAGCACATCAGTGTGTGTGAGCCGCACCTCTGGCAGGTCTGTAAGGCATCTTTGATGGTCGCCATTCCGGTCTGGATGTCTTTGTGCTCGAAGGTCATGGTGGCCTGCATGGCCATAATACTGCTGTAGCCCAGCGCGTGATACATGCTGTCCTTAGACCTACACACACACACACACACACACTTCAGCAAGTTAAACCTTGTAATTGTATAAACGTCCACCTTCAGCTTGAGCTTCGCCTCACACTGACTCATTGACTCACTGACTGACTCAGACTCACTCAGTCACTGACTCACTCACTGACTCACTCACTGACTCACTCACTGACTCACTCACTGACTCACTGACTCACTCACTCACTCACTGACTCACTCACTCACTCACTGACTCACTCACTGACTCACTCACTCACTCACTGACTCACTCACTCACTCACTGACCCACTCACTGACTCACTCACTGACTCGCTCACTGACCCGCTCACTGACCCACTCACTGACTCACTCACTGACTCACTCACTGACCCACTCACTGACTCACTCACTGACTCACTCACTCACTGACTCGCTCACTGACCCACTCACTGACTCACTCACTGACTCACTCACTGACTCACTCACTGACTCGCTCACTGACCCACTCACTGACTCATTGACTCACTCACTGACTCACTCACTCACTCCGTGACTCACTGACTCACTCACTGACTCACTGACTGACTCGCTCACTCACTCCGTGACTCACTCAGTCACTCACTGACTCGCTCACTGACTCGCTCACTGACCAACTCACTGACTCGCTCACTCACTCCGTGACTCACTCACTGACTCACTCACTGACCCACTCACTGACTCACTCACTGACTCACTCACTCACTTCACTGACTCGCTCACTCACTGACTCACTCACTCACTGACTCGCTCACTTACTGACTCGCTCACTCACTGACTCGCTCACTTCACTGACTCGCTCACTCACTGACTCGCTCACTCACTGACTCACTCACTCGCTCACTTCACTGACTCGCTCACTTCACTGACTCGCTCACTCACTGACTCACTCACTTCACTGACTCACTCACTCACTGACTCGCTCACTCACTGACTCACTCACTTCACTGACTCGCTCACTCACTGACTCACTCACTCACTCACTGACTCACTCACTCACTGACTCACTCACTCACTGACTCACTCACTCACTCACTCACTGACTCACTCACTGACTCACTCACTGACTCACTCACTGACTCACTTACTGACTCACTCACTGACTCACTCACTGACTCACTCACTGACTCACTCACTGACTCACTTACTGACTCACTCACTCACTCACTCACTGACTCACTCACTGACTCACTCACTGACTCACTCACTGACTCACTCACTGACTCACTCACTGACTCATACCAGGGTTTGAGGAGATCCAGGGCTTCAGAGAACTTGTTGTTGAGGACGAGGTTGAGGGCCATGGTGCACTCCTCTATAGACGTTCGCAGGTCCATCTTAGACGCCCTGAACACACACACACACACACACACACACACACACACTATATTCAGACACATTATCCGACTGGTCCTGATAGGGATGATCTGATGTGATACTCACACTGGGATGCGATCAAACGCGTCTTGAAAACAGTCCTGAAACAAACACAACAGATAATGAACATAAACGTGTGTGTGTGTGTGTGTGTGTGTGTGTGAGTGTGTGTGTGTGTGTGTGTGTGAGAGATGTAGAGCAGCTGCAGTGCGGAAACACACACACATTCTCTGTCAGATCAGATGGTTCACTAACACGATTGTGTCTATTTATATATTCTCAGTTATGTAACTCCGTCTGTCTGACACACAAACCTGACGCTTTATCACCATATGAACATATACAATATCCGATAATACACACTGTAATCATTTACATAATAATACAGATCATATATATATATATATGAAGCCCTTCCCCCGTCTTTTGCAATAATTGACATACATTACAGACGCTGGCATTATTCAGACCCATTGAAAACTCTACAGTTATAATGCATTAGGCCTCATGTTCAAGTGTGTGTGTGTGTGTTTAATAGAGACATGATTTACGGTCATCAATATTTAACTGAATGTGTCAAAGTGCAGCACTGAAAAACAAACATTGTGAATAAAAGCACCGCCACATTAGCTAAACATGAACTAACAACTAACAGCCTTTACTGGTTCATTATTAAGATCGAAGGTTGGTATTGTTCAGTAAAGCACTGAGACCAACATGAACATCTGTGTGTGTGTGTGTGTGTGTGTGTGTGTGTGTGTGTGTGTGTGTGTGTGTAGAGTTATTCAGTGTTTCTCAGCTCCTGAAACACCTCTATTGTGGCTTTGAACAAACATGTCACTCGTGACTGGAATGCTGGAAAACCACTAACACCCTTCCAACACTGAAGACTTACAACCTGTGTGTAAGAGTGTGTGTGTGCGTGTGTGTGTGTGAGGTAAAGAAACCTTTGGACAGTCTTTAGACGAAAAGCTGCATTCCTGGATTTTAATTGGGTTAGGCCCTGTCCTCCTCCATGGACTGGTGTACAGAACAGCTTGTTTCACCCAGTGCCTCCCAGTCCAGAAAGATCAACAAGAACTCGCTGGATCTCGACTAAAAGTCCATTGGTGGATCCAAAACATTGAGCCTGTGCCACTAAAGTGTTGATAACCAGCCTCTTATCCGAAGTAAAATCAACTGTGCTATCCCAGTCAGCTCTAATATTAGAAACTCATCCGCATTCACATGTTCAAACATTCACTCAGTTTTTAAATATAATTATTCTATCTGCACCTCTGTTTGGAGCATAAATATTAACAAACGCAAAACATCATCAATTTTTGCTTTTACAAGAAGGCGGCGCACGTTTTCTAATTCTACTTTTGACACTATATCAAGGAGTACGGCTACTCCAGTGTGCTCACAACACAATCCCCAATCTCTCATCACTATCAGCTTCCGGTAAAAAGTGCGATTCTTTAAGATTAAAGGGATACTTCACCTCTGGAAGGATGAATGTGTATTTAAAATGGGTCATTTAAAGCTCACTTACGATAAACATAAAAAATCTGACAGATTTTGGTCCACATGGTCCTCCCTTTGGGATTATATAAAGGAACTCCCTTAACTTCCAATCTAAAGGATGCTAAGTCAATGTGACCTTGTTTATGTGTGGTAGTTATTTAATTTTTTTTTCAATTATTACTGTCTTTTATGTTGTGTACACCTTGTAATACAAATAGAACTTTGTTGTGATTCTGTAAATGTAAATTATTTTCTATTGTGGACAAACAAAAAAAAGGGTAATTTATGTAGAAGAAATGTGAAATTAATTTTGAATTTGGAGCTTTCTAGACTGAGAAAAGCCAGAAAATGTCATTTTGGCTTATGTGGATGAAAGACAACAACTCCCAGAATGCACTTGCTTCGCCGCCCAGAGTCACCCACTCAACTCAGCCCAGCATACTGACCTCTCCATCCCTCCTGCTGCTGAGAGCCAACCACCATCTCCCCATCTCTCCGTGACCCGACCATACGCGCCAACCCATGTGACCGAGGCTGTCGAGCCCCACTGTCGCGGTAATGCAGTTTCATTGGCAACGGATCCGTACGGCAAAACACAATATCTGCCCAACCACCGTCATTCACGCAATACACATAATGTCTGTAAATCAAACTATACAAATAACCTACAGACTCTTCAAGTTTCCCAGAACTCTACGACACCGTAGCGTGGCGGCCTGTACACGGCCCTCCTCTCCTCTCCTCTCCTTCAGATCAGCGACGCATCTACTGGAACAAGTTCTTTCACACGGAGTCTATTTTGTATTGATATGACATCATATCCCACACTTCTGTACACTCGTAACTGAGCTCAAGAAACCAACTTCCGCTTGATCCAGGAAGTCCTCCACAGTACACACACACACACACACACACACACCTCCAGATGACGGACTCAACTCAAACACTCCTGAACATCTCCATCCATCTACACACACGCTATCGTCAGTCTCAAACTGTAAACCGCCTCCACTCGCCTGTTCAACCTTTTGTTCAACGATTTGTTTTTCAGTTGTGAGTGCACTTCTTTCACCAGCGTGAGTGAGAGAGAGAGAGAGAGAGAGAGAGAGAGAGAGAGAGAGAGTGAGAGAGTGAGAGAGTGAGAGAGAGAGAGAGAGAGAGAGAGAGAGAGAGAGAGAGAGAGAGTGAGAAAGAGTGAGTGAGTGTGAAGTAACATCTGTTTCCTCTGCAGTGGAAAAAACAGTAACTGGATCTGCTGCTAGAAGAGCAACACACACACACACACGCACGACTGCTTCGGGTGTTTATCAATAAATAAACATCATGCAGTGCTTAGACACACACACACACACACACACACACACTAAAAGCCTTTCAACACATGACCACAGTGCAGTTATGAGTGTGTGTGTGTGTGTGCGTTTTAGGATAAGTGGTCTCCCAGCGAGCTGAAGCACCTGGTTGCCATGGAAACGCTTCCATCAAGAAATGATATGCATCGCACATTCACTGTTATTATGATCACATAAACAATAAAATCATGACGGTAACCATGTTATTGCTATAATAAACATAAGTTACATAGAACGAAAAAAAAAAAAACCCACGATACTGCGGCGAACATCATCAAAAAAAAAAGTTTAACGTGAGTGAATAAATTAACAGCACTCGTAACCTTTATGACGTCACTGCAGTTTCGTTATTCACACCGAGCCAGTGTGTGTGTGTGTGTGTGTGTGTGCTTAAATCAGTGGCTGGTGACTTTATGAGGAAACACACACAAACACACAGTGGAGTGCTCTATGGAGCGCGCTGAGGCCGGAAGCGTTAACCGTCAGCATCTGCACGGGAACGCGCTCGTCTGCTCACCGGGTTTGGACCGGTTCGGACATACAGCCGGTGTTCGCGGGCAGATATTGGACACTCACCTCCTCCGGGTCCGCGCCGTCCGCTCCGGTACCGGCCCGAGCCATGGCGCTGTGTTTCCCTGAGATCCGCGCGGAATGTTAACGCTCGGACATCTGCACCCGTGCGTGTTCTTCTGACGTTCTGCTTTGCTCACCGCACGGACACGCCCACGGAGCCGTCACGTAGGGCGGGGCATTCCATAATCACTATGGTAACGATCGTAAAAATACCATAATCGCTACAGTTATTGTTGCTGTAAGCCGTCGTGGTTTCGTGTCACGCAACGGATTCCTTAAAGTTCATTGAACCCGATTATGCTGAATTATGTGTCCAGATCATGAATATGAATCGAGTCCACTCCTGGTAAACTTTCAAGTACATAACCTAATTTAATATTCATGAGCCACGCCTCGTCCGCTTCGCTGGTTCGCCCACAGACAGACGCCAGTCAGTTTGGCACGTGACGTCAAGGAGTTATAATTCATGAGCTGCACTGTTAAAGCCACTGTATGTATATATATATATGAAGAGTTCAGATGCAAAAGCCTCTAAGTGCCATTTGAAATTTTCTTCTAAAATGATAATTTTTATCAAGCTTGTATATTTAAGTTCAGTAATTTCACTTAAATGGCAATGAAGCTTACCTATTAATTGTCATTTAAGTGAAATTACTGAACTTAAATATACAAGCTTGATAAAAATGGTCATTTTAGAAGAAAATTTCAAATGGCATTTAGAGGCTTTTGCATCTGAACTCTTCATATATATATATATATATATATATATATATATATATATATATATATATTATATATATATAGATAGATATGCAACTATGTAAAAGAAACAATTATAAACTGTATACGTGTACAGTTTATACACAAATATATATATATATATATATATATATATACACATATGCATCTATATATACTCTGTATACACACACACACACACATATATAGAAGTGCTTTGCCTTCAGAAAATATAGTTCCCAGTATTTATATGGTTAAAAGATGTCTGTGTCTCATGTGACCTTGTTTTTTGTACACTCTGTGACTACACAAATCACAACATGTAAATAGGAAAATGTTTGCGTCATTTTGTCACTTAGTTGGATTAGTATGCTAGCTGCAACCATTTACATCCAGTCTTTGTGCTAAGCTAGGCTAGCGGTGGGTGCGTCTAACAGACTTATAGCACACACAGAGATGAAAAAGGTATGTATGGACTTATTCAACTCTGGGGGATAAGGTGAATAGGCTGAAGTCCCAAAAAAGTCCGAGTGTTCCTTTAAAGTTAACATAATCTGACTGAGGAATCTTGAGACGAGTAAATATTGTAACTGTGGTCAAATGTAAATTAGCTTGTGCCTATTTAACTTTATTATTTAATTCTGCAATTTGCCTTCATTAGCGATTATCATCAGTTTGATTAGACAGATACTAATTAAACTGAACAGACAATGGCATCTCTGAATTCAATAATGAAATGCTTTTAACTGAAAACTTAATGTTTGATTTTATTATTATACATTATTACTGACACTCCATCCTCCAATTTGATACTGTTAAGTGATTTTATGTTACAGTATATTTTAATCTTTGATGACAGGTAATAAAAATACAACGGATAATGTTAGCCCTGGTCCAATTAAAAAACATTAACAAACAGAACTCAGGACATTTTTGCTCATGTAAAGTATCCCTCATGTCATGTTCTAGACTCGTTATATTTAGCTTTAAAAAAAAATCCCCCTTAATATTGTCAGTATTTGCTCAGTGGTGTCAAATATTGATATTTTTCAAGGTATCGTATCGAAGTTAAAAATTCTAGTATCGTGACAACACTAATATATAAACACACACACACACTATATTATATAATGAGTATATGAAGAGTTCAGATGCCAAAGCCTCTAAGTGCCATTTTCAATTTTCTTCTAAAATTATCATTTTTGTCAAGCTTGTATATTTAAGTTCAGTAATTTCACTTAAATGGCAATGAAGATTACCTATTAATTGTTATTTAAGTGAAATTACTGAACTTAAATATACAAGTTTCATAAAAATCATCATTAAAGAAGAAAATTTCAAATGGCATTTAGAGGCTTTTGCATCTGAACTCTTCATATAGATATGCAAGTATATATAATAAATATATATACATATACACATTTATATAAAAATAGATATACATTATATACATGCTTCAGTAATCCAATTTTGTGTAAAAACCAAACGTGCAGAGTTTCTGATCATAAATTAAGATGGCACTCAGGGCATCAGATGCTCAGAACACACACGGCACACACACACACACACACACGTATTGCAGATCAGTTTAATGTGATCAAGATCATACTGACTGTAACATCAACACAAGAAGCACATGCAAGTGCTTTATAATACAAATCTAGGAGCGCGAGTGTGTGTGACGGCTACATGTTTACACACACACACACACACACACACGGGGTAAAGGCAGCGTCTGCCACGTTAGCACCGGATTCAGACCAGATCAGTGTGTGTGTGTGAACAAGCCCAGTGTTACTGTACACTAATGATGATGATGGTATAGCTGCCTTGTGTGTACACACACACACACACACACACTATTGAACATCTTAATGCTTGCGTTTCACACCGTACAAACAGAACAGAAGTGTTGAACTCTCCAGCAGATGGAGCCGTTGTTCAGACAGCGCTTCAGTGGCGCCGGCGGATCTCGCTCGACCAGCGCTCGCTGTAGAGTCACGAGGATGTCGACACAGGGAAAGTCTTTGTGTGTGTGTGTGTGTGTGTGTTAATGCTCTGTGAAAGGCGTATAAATCTGGACCATTAGGATTTCACCAGATCAGAGATCCCCGTGAGAAGTGAAAGCTGACGAGTTAGACACGCGTTTATTAGTGTCTCTCTCTCTCAGAACGGCGCTCGTCCACCGGGTTAATCTATGACACGTGAAGTAAAAGATCTAAAAGCAGCAGCGAGAGGATTTCCTGAAACACTGACGGCGAGGGGGACGTGTGATTCACACGAGACGAAACACTCTTCATCTCAGCGCTAATAAATAACTGCAACGGCGGTCCGATAAAACTCTCTCTCTCTCTCTCTCTCGGGAATAAGAAGGTTAAAAACAGTGGGCGGGCGATTCCTCGGGTCAGCTCCTGAGAACAGAGCACAGATCCGTCAGACACACACACGGCTCTGGTATAGGTTAGTGATGTCATGATGTCATACCTGTGAGGCACGAGTCCAGTGGTTTGAGTGTCTTCGCAGACGGCCGTCGGACTGATAACTGAAGACATAGAGACGCAGTTATTAGTATAAGCCTTCAGATATTCCTCATTATAATAATTAATGCGCAGAATAAAGGGGCGGGGCCTGGTTGAGTTAGTTAGTAGTGTGTTTAACTAAGTGGCAACCTTCCTGTCTCTCTCTTGAATCAACACTGAGCGAGTTAACCTGCAGTTCCTCCACTGGCCACTAGAGGCGCTGCAGAAGAGACTCACTCATGTTAAAACGCCCGACTTTAACAGCGGAAATAAACATGTTCACAGTTCGGTGTTAAAAGTGGTTTTGGTCTATATCACTAATGTTGCCCTTCATGACGACTGTGAGGGGGTGAATATTTTTTATAACTCATCCGTTTAAATTATATTTAGCCTTAAAGTTGTGCATAATTAAGGGCGTGGCCTCTTGAGTGACAGGTGGATTGCCGCTGATGTCTCTACTAGCTGTTTGTCTGCTAGTGTTAGCGTTACGTCACCTCAGCTAATCCGCCTAGCCTCACATCGTTTATCCGGGAGTGATGCTGCCAAGATGGCTCCGCCCACTTTCACACACACTACACGCGTTTTTTTTTTTACAGTCAATGGTTGAAACTGGCGGTTATGGAAAGGGGCGCGACATTTCATCACAACACACTGTTCCAGCTGACCAATCAGAGAACAGTGTGCTTTTCAGGGGGAGGGGCTTCATAGAGACACGAAGTAAACAGCGTTAAGCCGAGTTTCCAGTGAAATGAACATCCGGGTACTTTTTTTACCTTATTGGAATCGATCAAATTTAAACAAATCCCCAACGCTAGCAACCCCAGAGACGCGAGTGGCGGTCATCACCTGCTCGCTCGCCCCGCTCTCTCTCCTCCTGCAGCGAGTCGATGTACTCCTGACTCAGGGTCTCGTCCGCGTCTCCGATGAGGTAGATGTTCTTGAAGCGATGGTACAGCATGGACGCTTTAAACATGATCGCCTCGCTGCCACGAAACCAGCGCATCTGACGGATCACACACACACACACACACGTTACGACTGAACTAGGACTAGCATCAACGGATGAGGAGCAAGAGTTCACCTTTCTGAGCGTGTCGATGAGCTCGCTGTGGTTCTGGATGTTTCGAGACGAGACAGGGACGGTGCTCAACTCATCCAGGGCCGAGAGACACTTACTCACATCCTGAGAGAGACAGAGAGAGAGAGAGACCGTTATACATGATGTTATACACGATGCATCCAGTAAATACGGACTGAACACATAAGCAAACTAAATCCTAAAATAAAATGATTCGTATATCAATGATATGAAAGAGGGTCATACTGGATTGTCGAGCGTCATTGAGATTCTGATGTCACCGTGCAGCCGGTAGAGCAAAGAATCTGTGACGGACAGAGAAGCTGAAACACACACACACACAGTTAGAGATATACACTCTCTCTCTCACACACACACACACACACAGTTAGAGATATACACTCACTCTCTCTCTCTCACACACACACACACACACTCAATCTATCACTCAATCTATCACTCTCGCTCTCTCACCGTTGTGCTCTTCCTCTCTGCTGGTGTAGTTCTGCTGCCTGTAGAGACACACACTCCGTTAACTCGTATATGTGATATATGCTCATTACTATAAGAGTGTCCAAACCAGACGTGGTGCAATAAAAGCCTCTTCTTCCTGTTAATCAGAGTTTAACCGCGCCGTCGCAGAAAGAGCCTCTGACTAGCATGAGAAGGCTCCTTTAATCGTGGTATAGTTGAAAGGTCAGTGTTTTTGATCCCCCGCGAGTGTTCAGTGTTGAGACGGATCCGTGGTTTGATTAAAGTCAGTTTTATTTTAAAGTGTGCTACTGTAATGCATCGCGACGTGACGTTACCGTGATTACTGTAAGAGCAGCAGCAAAACCGTGTCTACGCTGATGGTTTCACTGGTTCAGCAGAGGCTGATATGGAGAAACACTGTAATGTGAACCGTCAGTGCAAACGCCACAATTTCAAAACATCCGCCCCGTTTTTTTCCACAAATCGCTCCCTGGTTAACAGGAGAATTAAACTCTATTCTGTGTAGTTATGGGCTTAGCAGTCCCCTGACCCTGATCACCCTGTGGAGATGATGACACAGAGAACCCAGACGGGACTCCTGACTCACTCAGTGCTCCTGCGCTCTCGCCCTCGGCTCTGCTCCGGCTCTCTCCTCTCGCCCTCGGCCGCTCTCAGCCGGTTCTCGCTCCGCACGCCTCGGCTCCTCTCGGGCCGCTTCTGAGGCTCCTGCTGTTCGCCGCCGGACTGAGTCTTGCCCCTGGTGGACGTGACCAACCCCTGCAGGGACTTCAGCACGCTCTGCCTCTTCTCCGCCAGGATCTTGCTCCTCTACACACACACACACACACAGAGACGTCAGATCCGGATCGGTTCCTCATAAATAGTGGTCAAAGGTTCACAAAATTCACGGATCGGATCATTTAAGTAGAAGTTAAATATAGTTGTATCGTTGTTAAAGCAGATTTTGTTGTTTTATAAACATTAACGACAGACAACAGTGGGGGTGTGAGGCTGACGTCACTTTAAGGCCGCGTGTCCACCAAAGTGTTTTTATCCAGCTGAAAACGGCAGACGCTCTGCTGAAGACGCCGTGCTTTGGGCGCTTGAGAGCGTTTCGGCAGCGCAGCGTTTTTTTCGTTGAGACGTTTCGTTGCTATGATACTGAATATCCGCAGCAGTTTGAATGTTGACAGTTGGTCGGTGTGGTATTAGCAGTGATGTTTTCGTCAGTGATGACGATAACGAAATGATTTCGTTAACGCACCGTTTTTTTATGACGATAACGCGACGATGACTAGCTAAAAATAGCTCTGAGGTGACTAAAACATGACGAGACGTTTTCAAGTTTTCGTTGACGAGACGGAACGAAAATGATAAGTCTGACGTTCACAATGCATGTAATTATTGCCTGTTTTGTGTGAAATCGGTCTGTATGGAGCTAAAAATAAGTATCAGCAATGCTGCCGTTTCCTATCGCGTGCGCCCAACACCGGCCGCCAGATCCCACACAACAACAACACAGGGTTTAATTACCAAGTCAAGTCAATAGAGTCGGACAAAAACTAGGATAAAACCTGTCGGAAAGCATATTTTGCAGCGATGTTTGTGTGAGCATATCAGTGAACTCGGTGAGTTTGACGTCTTTGTAAACTAATGTTTAATGCGTTTTATGAATGATTGTGTGGGTGCTAACACACAAACCTAAAATTCTCGGGACAACAGCATTTGTCCAAATTTCAATCTTAACCGTTCTATTTCATCAGAAACGATCTTAAAACAGGGCTTTAAGTGTAAAATACCCAACTAACCAAGACCAAATACAGTGTTTATTCAGGGATTGTCTTATTTGCCAGCAGCCATATCACCCTGTAGCCCAAGACTGGTTGCCCACTGAAGCTAAGCAGGGCTGAGCCGGGTCAGTACCTGGATGGGAGACCTTCTGAGAAAGCCAGGTTGCTGCTGGAAGAGGTGTTAGTAAGGCCAGCAGGAGGCGCTCACCCTGTGGTCTGTGTGGGTCCTAATGCCCCAGTATAGTAATGGGGACACTATACTGTCAAAGAGCACCGTGCTTCGGATGAGACGTTAAACCGAGGTCCTGACTCTCTGTGGTCATTAAATATCCCAGGATGTCTTTGGAAAGAGTAGGGGTGTAACCCCGACATCCTGGCCAAATCTGCCCAGTGGCCTCTGTCCATCATGGCCTCCTAATCATCCCCATATATACTAATTGGCTTCATCACTGTCTCCTCTCCACCAGTAAGCTGGTGTGTGGTGGGCGTTCTGGCGCAATATGGCAGCCGTCGCATCATCCAGGTGGATGCTGCACATTGGTGGTGGTTGAGGAGATCCCCCCCCCCTTCTATGTGAAGCGCTTTGAGTGTCCAGAAAGGCGCTATATAAATGTGATGAATTATTATTATTATTATTATTCATTTTTATGTTCAACACACTCCAAGTGTCATGTTTGTTTCATACTTTATATTCAAGTATACATTCTTTGTTCAATGCACCTCAGTATTAGATATTTATTTTATTATTTTGTTTCAGAATGTTTGCAACTTTGCAGTTTGCACAAGTTAAAGATAGACTGGGTTATCAAACATATATACATAATGTTTGTGTTTACATAATGTTTGAACTTTAGCAATTTATCAAATAAAGCCACAATTGCCAAAGTAAGAATGTTTTTTTATATGCTTGGCTTTTTTGGAGTAAAACAGTGATTCCACTGTTACCACTTTATCTGTGTACAATGTTCTAGTTGCTCAACGTTTATTATGCAAAGGTTGTAAGGTTAGCTTGTTTTTTATGATGTGCAACACTTGCTAAATCTGTCAAACCTAAGCCCATTTCCACTACTTTTAAACTAAATTAATTTGTTAAAGACTACTTTTTTTTTTACTAAAATTGATTAAACTTGACTAAAACCTTTTGGTGTTTTCGTTGACTAAAACTTGACTAAAACTATTAAGTTTATAAGTGACTAAAATGTGACTAAAACTTAAAAGCATTTTTCGTCCAAAAGACTAAGACTAAAACGGCTGCCAAAAACAACACTGGGTATTAGTCCCGCCCCTCCTCCACTGTGATTGGACAGCTGGGTAAAAAGTGACAGTGATGAGCGCTGCGTTTTATCCAAAGTTGAACATTTTTCAACTCCCAGAGACCAGTAAAAACGCTGGGCGCTCGGCGCTTCAGCGTGAAAAAAAGAACGCTCAGCGCCTCGGTACGCTCATGGCGTTTAAAAAAAGCAGCGCTCCCACTGAAAACATACGCCAGGCGCGTGGAAAAACGCTTTGGTGGACACATGGCCTAAGAGCGAATACACCGACACACATCCGGCTTCATCTGCACTGCTCACTCGCGACAGAACCGAGAACACGTGTGTGTGTGTGTGTGTGTGTTTGTGTGTGTGTGTGTGTGTGTGTGTGTGTGTGTGGCTGTGCCCTGATTTTCGCCTCTTCTTCTACATTTAAAATGACTGTGTAAATTGGCAAGACAAAACACGTCTAAAGGATAATCGTTCACTCTGCGATGGTTAAACTGCTCAGTGGGGGCGGAGCCGCTCACCTCCTGGTCTCTGGGCGTCCCCTGCTCCGGCTTCAGGACGCCGCTCCTGGTCTCCGCGGGGTTATCCCGTCTCTGCTCGGCCTCATCCGGCACGCTCCTCTTCTTCACCTCGCTCTTCTCCGGGTCTTCCGGGAGCCGCTTCCTCTTTGAGCCTGCCGATTCATCAGGTTAGACGCTCTTTATGCTTATGACCATCTAAGATTATAATGAAAACATGAAACGACATACACGACTTTTCCTTTACTATTCTATGGGAAAAAAATAAAACCGATTTCATAGAAAAATCTGGATAAGGCAAGAATATGAATTGGAACATGTGCATAATAATATAATTGTGTTAATGTAAAGCGCTTCTTTCACACTGCAGCTTTAAAATAACTCACAAAATAAGACCAGGAATGATTAACTCTTTCATCACCAATGAATGAATTTTCCAGCCATGTGTGTTCTCAGTGTTATACTGTAGGGGGCGCTACTACGCATCTTCTGAAAGAGTCCCTAATGTTGACACACACACATTCAGGTGTTGATTAACACAGAATCCATGAAGCCAGAATACAATTAGGTTTCTTTTGATATATAGCAAGTTGAGGTCATGAGCAAATATGCTGCCGCTGACTGCGAACATTTAAAAAAAAGACACTGGCGAGGAAAGAGTTAAAAATGGGGGTTTACCAATTCAATAAGATTTAATAAAAAAAAATAAAAAATTATAATAATAAAATGTATATTTTGGAATACAAATAATAATATAACAAGAGCAATATATTTCTGTCTTAATTCACTTCTGCTTTAGACTGATTTTACAATTATGGAAAAGCAAGAAATTAAATCTTAATCTCGAATCAGCATTTTAAGACTTTTTAGCATTGAGGTTGGCTTAAATTTGAAGATTTTATCTCGGTCAATAAAATGCTTGAAAATCATCGAGCACATTGGTAACACGTTTCGACATGTTGCTAGCATGATTTAGCATGTTGCTAACCCGATTCATGTTTCTAGCCTTATTTTTACATTAACGAATGTAAAACATTTGTAAGAATTTAAGGCTCCGTGGACAAACCGTAAAAAGATTTCTGTCACTGAAAGCAAGACTTCAGATCACCTGCTGGGCCGGCGCTGCTCGTCACTGGAAGAGAAGTGGGCGTGTCTTCCTTCCCGTCAGAGTTCGTTAGCGAGCGTTTGCGTCTCAGAGTGGGCGGCTTGACCGCCGCGGCAGTGACGTCATCTGTGGTCTCGGTCAGATCTGCAGAAGAGTACATGAAAGTTTAACATTATTTCACATATTGCTAACATGTTGCTAGCATGATTTAACACGTTGCTGGTATGTTTCTAACATTATTTCACATATTGTTTGCCTGATTTACTACACTGCTAGCATGTTGCTATTATGATTTAACACAATTTAACATGTTGCTAGCATGATTTAGCATATTACTAACACATTGTTAGCAAGACTTCAGATCACCTGCTGGGCCGGAGGGGGCGGCGCTGCTCGTTACGGGAAGAGAAGTGGGCGTGTCTTCCTTCCCATCAGAGTTCGTTAGTGAGCGTTTGCTTCTCAGAGTGGGCGGACTGACCGCCGCAGCAGTGATGTCATCGGTGGTCTCGGTCAGGTCTGCAGATGAGTGCATGAAAGTTTGAAGTCAATGAAATATTTTAACATGTTTAACATATTTTAACACATCGTTAACATTTTTTGCATAATTTAGCATTTTGTTAACATGTTTTAACATGTTTCTTACATGATTTAGTCTATTGCCAACATGTCTCTAACATGATTTAACATTTTTAAAGGTTTTATTGTTACTAACATTATTTCACATATTGCTAACATGTTTTAACACGTTGCTGGTGTGTTTCTAATAGTATTTCACAAATTGCTAGCATGATTTAGCATATTGCTAACACATTTTAGCACATTGTTAACAAGACTTCAGATCACCTGCTGGGCCGGAGGGGGCGGCGCTGCTCGTTACAGGAAGAGAAGTGGGCGTGTCTTCCTTCACCTCAGCATTCGGTAGTGAGCGTTTGCTTCTCAGAGTGGGCGGACTGACCGCCGCGGCAGTGATGTCATCGGTGGTCTCCGTCAGATCTGCAGTACAGCGCATGTAAGTTTATGAAAGTTTGAAGTTATTAAAAAAATATATTTAAACATGTTCTAACATATTCTAACACATCGTTCATAAGTATAATTTAAGCATAATTTAGCATTTTGTTAACATGTTGCTAATATGATTTAACACATTTTAACATGTTGCTAGTATGATTTAGCATATTGCTAAAACACATTTTAGCACATTGTTAGCAAGACTTCAGATCACCTGCTGGGCCGGAGGGGGCGGCACTGCTCGTTACAGGAAGAGAAGTGGGCGTGTCTTCCTTCCCATCAGAGTTCGTTTGCGAACGTTTGCGTCTCAGAGTGGGCGGACTGACCAGCGCGGCAGTGATGTCATCGGTGGTCTCGGTCAGATCTGCAGTAGAGCGCATGAAAATGTAAAGATTTTACTCTGTAAAGAGGAGTCAATAAAATGTTGCAAGCATATTTTATGCTACACGTTGGTAACATGTTTTAGCACATCGCAGACATGTTTCTAGCATGATTTAGCATAGTGTTAACATGTTGCTTGCATGATTTAGTACCTTACTAACGCGCCAAGCATGATTTAACATTGTTAGAATGTTTTAATACATTTCTAACATGATTTGACACTTTGCTGGTATGTTTCTAACGTGAATTAGCATATTGCTCGCCTGATAAACTAAGTGTTTAGCATGTTGCTAAGGTGATTTAAAACATTGCTAACAAGTTTTAACATGTTGCTAGCATGACTTAGCACAGATCACCTGCTGGGCCGGAGGGGGTAGCGCTGCTCGTCACTGGAAGAGAAGTGGGCGTGTCTCCCTTCACATCAGAGACTGTTAGCGAGCGTTTGCGTCTCAGAGCGGGCGGCTTGACCGGCGCGGCAGTGATGTCATCGGTGATCTCCGTAAGATCTGCAGTAGAGCGCATAAGAAGTTTATGAAAGTCAATAAAATGTTTTAACACAACATATTCACACATTTTTAACTTGTTTTAACATATTGTTTAGTGATGGCCGGTTCGTGAACGAATCGTTCTTTTGAACCGGTTCTTTTTAGTGAACCGGTCGAACCAGTACACTAAATCGGACTGAATCGTTCAAAACAGTTCGCGTCTTGCGTCAGCGGTAAACCACAAGTTACTAAAGTTACTCACTTTCAGACATGCCTGACAGTCCCTCCGAATCTAAATAAACCAATATCCATTAGTACATTTTATTCAGTAACTCAAAAAGTTCACTGAACGGAGACATATGTTGGTGCTGAGAGAAGCGATGAGCACGAGCAGCTGATACTGCGCATGCGTGTACTACCGAACATACAGGTACAGCGGTCGGATAACCAGTACAGAACCGAGAACTGTTTCTTTCGGACACGTTCGACATATTGAGAACTGATGAGTTGATGAGCTGAGCATGCGTGCATTTTTTTTCTGAGGGACGAAATGTACGTTTCCATGTCTTTAGTTGAACATATCAGTAAGTGTAACAAAATAAAACATTTTGGAAACATGTTTATCACATTACTGTATCACTGTATTATTTTAACGATTGGAAATAATGATTGGATTCTAAAACTGTTTAACTACTAAACATTTATTATACTAAAATAATATTTTCAGGAACAGCTCATTTAATTTCTAAGTAACAATATAAATCATTGATGTAAACTCTTGCCAAGGTTTGGTGCACTGCTTAGTAAATAATGTGTTAACATAAAGAATTAAACATATATGTTTAATTCGTTATGTTAACACATTATAAACATGATGTATACTGTATAGGCTACAGAAGGCTATATTGGAGACAGACATGCATCGATTTTTTAGTTTTGTCGACTGTATATTCAGGTTTCAGCTCAGCACACAGCTATGGTTCTCGAGTCGAGAACTGGTTGTTGCAGTTCTTGAATCACTAGTACAGAACCGAGAACTGTTTCTTTCGGACACGTTCGATACGGAGAACCGATGAGCTGGAGATACTGCGCATGCGTGATAGCACCGTCTCTGAACAGAACTTTCTTTCGGCCGGCTGATCCTGTGCTGATACATGAGCACGCAGTAGTACGGGTGAACCCAGGACTTAAATGAGAGGGCGAATCGGCGAAATGTAAGTTTATTTAATAACAAATAAAATGATGAAGACCATTTATGCATTTTATATATTTAAAACATGTAAAACATCCGCGTTAGCACATCGCCTAGGCTGCAGCAGGGTTCGTTTTCAAAATGTAAATGTAAGAAACTTATCCAAGATGATTATGACAATGCATACTATTATTTAACTGAAGTTGTGATTACAAATGCCTTTAATTTGAAGTATTTTTATCCGCCGGGATGATAGAATTGACGTCATTACGTGATGACGTAAAAGAACTGGTGAACCGGTTTTTTGAACCGGTTCATTAAAACGAACTGTCCGAAAGAACCGGTTCGCGGAAAAGAACCGGACTTCCCATCACTAATATTGTTAGCATGTTTTAACATGTTGCTTGCATAATTTAGTTCGTTGCTAATATGTCTCTAAAATGAACTAACATGTTTAAACATGTTGCTAACATGATTTATCACATTGCTGGTATATTTCGAACATGAATTAGCATATTGCTCGCCTGTCTTACTACGTTGCTAGCATGTTGCTAACATGATTAAGCTTGTGTTAACATGTTTCTAACATGGTTTGACACACTTTTAACATGTTGCTAGCATGATTCAAAATGTGTTAGCATGCTGCTAACATGATTTAAAACATTGCTATCAAGTTTTAACATGTTGCTAGCATGACTTGGCACAGATCACCTGCTGGGCCGGAGGGGGCGGCCCTGCTCGTTACTGGAAGAGAAGTGGGCGTGTCTTCCTTCCCATCGGAGTTCGTTAGCGAGCGTTTGCGTTTCAGAGTAGGCAGCCTGACCGGCGCGGCAGTGATGTCATCGGTGGTCTTCGTCAGATCTGTAGTAAAGCGCATGAAAGTCAATAAAATATTTTAACATCTTCTAACATATTTTAACCCATCATTAACATGTTTTAGCATTATTTAGCATTTTGCTAACATGTTTTGATCTTGTTGCTAACATAATTTAGCATATTACTAACACATTTTAGCACATTGTTAGCAAGACTTCAGATCACCTGCTGGGCCGGAGGGGGCGGCGCTGTTCATTACAGGAAGAGTGGGCATGTCTTCCTTCATATCAGAGTTCGTTAGCGAGCGTTTGCGTCTCAGAGTGAGCGGCCTGACCGGCGCGGCAGTGATGTCATCGGTGGTCTCAGTCAGATCTGCAGTAGAGCGCGTAATCCTCAAGGGCTGAATGATTTCAAACACAACACACACAACATTAGCAACTCATAAACCAGGTTCAGATGTGATGGAGAATGGCGTCGCACAAACCTTTTGACGATTGTTAGCATCCATCCGTTCCTTTGCCGTTGAAATGATTTTTCTATTCAGTACGCGTTTCCTGCGAGCGGAAAGTGTCTTTGCCACAATGGCTCGTCTCGCTAAAACGTTCTTCCTGAATGGCAACATCCTCCTCCCTGCCGCGACTGTCTTGAGCGACGTCCCTCTCCTCGCAGGCGCGACTTCCTTCGTTCGTCTTTTGTCGCGCGTGACGATCTTTGCCGTTGAATATTTGGAGCGCGTCAACCTGGTTGCGGTTGTTTTATCATCCGTCGACTTGGCAGATTCAGACTTGGCTTTGCCTTGAGTTTCTCTGCTGCGCGGCGTCGCTGCTTTCAGTGGCGTTTTATCATCCGTCGGCTTGACAGTTTCAGACTTGGCTTTGCTTTGAGTTTCTCTGCTGCGCGGCGTAGCTGCTTTCAGTGGCGACGAATTGGCCTTCGCCACCGAATCGTCACAGGATCCAGTCTTGGTTTTTTCTTCGCTCTGATTTTTCGCTTTCTTCTTTCTGTCTTTCAGCCTCTGTCGACTCTCTGACAGTCGTTTCACCAGCGCGGCTTTCTGTCAGGAACACAAAGCCCATGCATTACAGTCTTTTCTAAAGGCTGTTCACACCGATAAACAAAACGATAAACGTATTACCACCCTCACCAGCAGACGATAACTAAAACGATAACTAGGGTCCACAGCAGCGGACGATAACTATAACTATATTAGCGTAATTGTGGTGTGGACTCTGCTATTCTGTCCATTTAGAACAATTTTCAGAAAGATATCTTTATCATTATATTTATCATGCCTTAAAGGACAACTCTGGCGCAAAATTAACCTTTGGTCTAATAACACATTGGCCCAGAGTCAACCGTTCTCTGAGATCTGTTTTCATGATAATCGAATATAAAAAGTTTTAATAATAATCGAATGAAAAGAGTTTCATGAAAACAGAGAACGGTCGACTAGGTACCAAAGTGTTATTAGACCAAAGGTTCATTTTTGCACCGGAGTTCTCCTTTAATTAACAGCAAACACTGACCTTTTGACCTCTGAGGCCCACGCCCGGGTCGTTCTCGATCTCCCACATGCCCTCCTCGAACCCGCCCCGTTTGATGGGCCGGCCGTACTTCTCTTTGTTTGGCCAGTAGGGGGCGATGTCTCTGGGGAAGAGAAATGTTCTGGAAGAGAGTGCAATGCTAGTTAATACTAAACATCAACTAACAATGACTAAAAATATACGTACCCATAAGCTTGTGTGATCTACTGTTAATCCAACTTTGTGTTCTCATTGTTAGGTGGTCTTATAAACATGTTAAGATTAATCATTATATACATAGATTAGATATATATTTCCGCATTATAATTCGAGTTTCTCTATATCACACTGGGTATTACGCGGACAGTTGTACATTGCATTGCAAACCTTTGGTTTAATGAAGGCTGTGCGTGTTTGTTTGACTCGAGTTCACTTACGTGGAGTGTGTTCCATAAAAGAAGATGGGGATCTTGTTTCTTGGGGCTTTTCCTTCACCAATCTGAGTGACAAAACAACAACAACAACAACACATAAACAGTCCGATTTAACATTATATGCGATGATATATGCCTTATATCTGCTGTATATAAACTCACTCTGGCGGGCCAGAAAGGATAACCCTTCATCTTAGCAAACACTATATCGCCTGGAATAAAATCATCGGTGTTCTGATCAGATGTAATCTTCATCTGAGAAAACAAAATACAAATGAATACAAATAACACTCCTCATCATGTGTCTTCAACACATCTAAACAATAAACAAAACACTTTACCAGCAGAGACACATCTTACATGCATTAAATTAGCCGTGAGGTTGCCTTTGTAAAACACTATTTTGATTTTACCATCATTTCATTGCTATCGACTATGAAGTTAAATAAAATGATAGCCGTGTTTAGCTAGCTTAGGCTAACACACGCCCATTGTTAGTATATGACCTCACCTTTACTCCCTTCTGCATATCTACCTACTCAGGGAATATTTTACTAACACTTTGATTTAAAAACAAACGGAAAATACAGTAGCTATTAAAAATATTATCACGCGATAAATGAAAGGACATGAAGACTTGCGAGAGAGAGCGTCTCCCCTCAGCACCGGTGGAATAGATCAGTCCGCCTCAATAACTGAGGAATGTACCATTACACACAGAGAGAGGGAGGTTTGGGTTCAAATGTATTCTTAATATAATTCATAACATTGATTTCTTCTCAATGTTAAGAATAATTACTAAATAGTTTGTGTTGTATTTAACTACGCAGTAATTTAAAATTATTTTCGCGGATGGAAAAACAAAAGCACGTGATTGTTTGTCAACAGAAGCCGTTAAAGAGTGTTAGGAAGCGGTAAAAAAATTAAGTTGTTTATAATATCTTAACGCTTTATTTAATCATTTAACAACATAAAAACACATATGTATAAATTAAAAGTGAGCCGCGAGTGACACGTGGTTTGATGAAATTTCGCGGTGTTTTTCGTTTATCGTTGTTGTCATGGTGAGGAGGAGGAGGAAACATGGCGTCGGACTCGGATTCGAACGGACGCTGAGGAGTGTTTACAACGACACGGATTTATACATTCGAATGACGTTTTACTGCAATATTTAATAATAAACGCGCACACAAGCCTGTTAATGCTGGGTTGGTCTTTACTTTTAATCATGTTGTTGTGAATTGACCGTTTATCGTGTTTAGAAACACACGTGAATTTGATTTAGTTTTCGCAGAACTTTATTGTGTATCATGAGTCATGCGCTACTTTGGCGTGTTGATTAATTTACATGTATATAAACTAGTCTTTGTCGATGTATACTGCAAAAAATGATTTTCTTACTTTGTATTTTTGTCTTGTTTCCAGTCCAAATATCGAGTTCCAAATGCAATTTCGACTGGATTGGAAACAAGACAAAAATACTGAGTAAGAAAAGCATTGTCTGCAGTGTAAATGCACATCTAAACGGGTTATAATGTTCTGATGTCATGTTTCTCCTTCTCTGTGTTTGTGAACCATGACTGTATCTCTCCTGTGTGTGTGTCAGCAGTGTGAGGACCGGTTGACCTCATGCCCTCCGGCTTGCCCTCGGCCCGGCTTCGGCCCAAGCGCGGCCCGGTTCCCTCCTCTTCTCACCCGGCCCGCACCGCACAGAACCCACAGGAGGAGATCCGCAGGTCCAGAACACACTTCACATCTGACCTGGAACATTCACAACACACACGTGTTGGTTGATTATAATTATGACATGAAATGTAAAAATTATGACTTTTTTAGTGATTTGACCTTTCATGTCATCATTTTGACTTTTAATGCCATAATTATGACGTAGTATGTCACAATTTTGACTTTTTGGTCATAATTTCATTTTTGTTTTGTTACAATTTTTTACTTTAAATAATGAAAAGTCAGAACTATGACTTTTTAAGTAATTTGACTTTTAATGTCACAACTTTTTGTTTTCTTTTTGATTTAGTATGGTCATTATTTTGACTGTCATAATTAGAATTTTTGCAATCATTTGGACTTTTTAATATCATAATTTGGACTTTTATGTCATGATAAAATCATCATTTGGACTTTTTGTCATACTTTTAATTTTTTGTACGTTTTTTTAACGTTTTGTCATAATTATATTTTATTTTTTTCTCATAATTTAGACTTGTGCCATGATTTTGACTTTTTAATGCCATGATTTTTTGTATTTATATTGACCTCATAAATCATAATTTTGCCTTGGTATGTCATAATTGGGACTTTCTTTCATAATTTAGATATTTGTTGTCAGAGTTTTGACTTTGAAAATGTCACAATTTTGTCTCTCCTTATTAATCTAGTCTACACTAAAATGCATGTTTGAGCTGTTTTAACTGAAAGCATGTCTTAAAATGTTTAACCTCCAGATTCTGTGTTTTCCTAGGGCACATTTCTTAAAGCTACTTAAACGTCCTTATTGAACTAAGGCTTAATCTGAGCCCTGTCTGTGAAACCAGGCCAGAATGTCATAATTTTGACTTGCATCATACACACATGACTGATGTCATTGACATACGTGTGTGTGTGTGCAGGCTCAGAGAGCCGGTTGACGGCCTGCAGAGAGAGAGACGGGTCGGGGAGAGAGACACCGATGAGGACTTCACTCTCGCTGCTGAGCTGAGGTGGAGGATTAACCAGCTGCAGAGAGACAAGCTGGACTGCTGCTCCAAACACAATCAAGAGGTGCTTCTGGTCATGCTTTTGCCAGAGGCTTTTATTCAAAGCATTTAATAAGTAAACACGTGATCATGGGGTCATGTGATGCTCGAGTCATGTGATGTGTGTGTGTCGCAGGTGTCGCGGTACGAGGCTCAGGCGGCCCGGTTGCGAGCGCTGGTGGAGCGAGGAGAAGCACAGCGGCAGAACCTGGAGTACGAGCTCACCGTGGTGAAGAGAGACACTGAGGAGCTGAGGACACACAACACCAGGCTGGAGGGTGAGTGTGTGAGAGAGTATGGCTTTAACTTTAAATTTGTACAAAACTTGGTTAACTTTGATTATATAGCAATTTAGAAGACCAAATAAATATTGCTATACGTCTATAACCTGCATATTCTGAAGTGCTTCTGCTGAGTGTGTTTAAAAACAGACCAAAGTTGACAGTATGCCACTGACTGTGTGTGTGTGTGTGTGTGTGTGTGCGTGTGTGTGCAGTCCTCAGCTCAGAGCTGCGTCAGAGAGTGTCAGATCTACAGAGATCTTTAGAGATAACACAGCAGGCGCGTGAGGACGAACTGCAGGGCCTCCAGGCGGAGCTGCGCGAGAGGGACCGTCTGATGCTGAGCTCAGCTGCTGAACACGAGCTGCTGCAGGCCGAGAAGACACACCTAGACACACTCATACAGGTCTGTCCATCTATATATCTCTCTTAGGGCTGGGTATCGATTCACATTTCAATTTCGATTCGATTTCGATTCACAAGCTCTCAGTTCGATTCGATTTCGATTCTCGATTCAATTTTCGATTTCGATTCCTGATTTGATTCTCGATTCGACTATAATGAAGATGTAATACAAATCCTATATTTATAAAAAAGAACAGTGGACATAAGTTTACTAGTGGTTAATTAATACAAGGAAATTAAGAGCCATAACCCTGTATATAAAACTCTTTTTATTTTAGGTACACTAAATGCATACAGAGAATAAACAGGATTTTGATGCAATATGCAAAAACAGTCAGAACAGTCGCACAGCTTGATCAAACAGTATCATGTTATTTTATGTTTAAGATAGATAAAGATAAATAAATATATAAATATTTAGACTTTTTTTTTTTACATTGATCTTACCTAAATGGTAATGTAATTTTTTGTTTATTTTTGTTTTAAGAGTTTATGTATGGAAGCTTGATTTCAATCTTTGAATTAAATTGAAAAAAGTAGCACAAATAAATACAATAGAATAAAGACACAAATTAAGAGACATTTTGGGGTGGTTTTTTTGGGTATCAGAAATACTACAGAAACTGAATAAAGTAATCCAATGTAAAATAACACTGGATAGTCTTTTTAGTCCAGACTGAATTAAATACAAAGGCTATTAATTCTGATTGCTTACAATTAATACTATATTCTGTTGTTATGACAACAGAATTAATGACTGACACAAATGGCTGCGTTCACTTTAAGAACTAGTGTGCGAATCCATTACTGTTTCATTAACTTTCTGTCACACCCGTTTAATGCTAATTTAAGACATTACCGACTGTCTTTACGAGGTTACTCACCAAGACCAGAGTTTTGACATAATGTCGCGTGTTTTAACTGTTAAAGTGATATAATCCAGAGATAAAACTTTTGTTTCTGGCGAGCTGTTTGTGAGGCAGATTTAGGCTGTAACGTTACTGTGCACGCAGTGAAAGACATCTCTGAGAGTGCGCGAGCACGGGATGGTTTAACATTGCTTGTAAAACTCAAAAAGACGTGAAAATGATAAACGTTAGTTAGTTTAGTTTAGTTTAGTTTATTTGTTTAGCACGTTTAGTACAAGTACAGAACAATGCTAGGAGGGAACGAAGCCAGACTAGGCTTGTACAGAGTTCCACTCCTATTCCTATTAACTCACGAGATATGCAGACTAAGCATCACAGAAGAAAAAAAGAAGAACAACAACAAAAAACAGAACACACAAAACAAAAGATGAAAAATAAAAATAAACAACAAATGATAGAAAGCAATTCAATACAAACAAATGTGCTTAGAAAAGAAAAGCGAGGAAAATATAATATATTATATTATATATATATATATATAATAATAATAAAATAAATAAAAACTACAACATAAAAGGCATCAAGCTAGCGATAGTACACTCTTCAAATGCTTTATAAAAGCTGAATAAGAGGACATTGATTGCAACGATGGACTTAACTCACTCCAAAGCTTAGGACCTCTAAAAGAAATATTAAATTGGTGTCTTGTGGTACGTGCGATTGGTAAGACTAAGTTATTATTGCTATGTCTAGTGTGCAATGAATGAACATGTGAGATAGGAATAAACAAATTCTGGAAAGAGTCTGGTAGATCTTGTTTCCTATAAATAAACTTATGCATAAGTAAGCATGTTTGATAAATATTTACCTTATCAATAGGGAGAACTTTAAATTTATTAAAAAGAGGGACCGAAGGTGCATATCTGTTTGAATGGGAAATAAATCTAAGATACTTTTTCTGTATAACTAATAATTTATTAAGGTGGGTAGGATATGTAGCTGCCCAAACAATGTTGCAATAATTAATAAATGGAAACAAAAAACTATAATATAAGGTTAAAAATGCTGAGGAATGAACCAAAGGACAAACCCTCCTCAATATACCCAACATTTTAGCTGACCTCTTAGAAACAAAATTAATATGATTAGACCAATTAAGACCACTATCAATAATGACTCCTAAAAATCTGGTATGTTGAACCAATTCGATTTGTGTATTATTAATGTAGATCTTAGATAATTCAATAGGGTAATGTTTGTGAGTATTACAAAAAATCATAAAGTTGCATTTTTTTATATTGAGAGTAAGTTTGTTCGATTGAAACCATTCCATGATATATGATAGTTCCTCGTTAACCATTTTTATTAGTATATTGAAGTCATGGTGCGAAGCTACAAGATTTGTATCATCAGCGAATAGAACTGGGAGAAGTTTAGTACAAATCATAGGCATATCATTTATGTAAATTAAAAATAAAAGAGGCCCTAGAATTGATCCTTGAGGGACCCCAAGTTACGATCATAGGTTACGATGCAATGCTGGTCCGATTGTTAAGTGAATATTCCGTCATGTCCCGACTCCTGAACGCGTGTGTGTATCGACAGCTGCAGCGCTTGGCTAGTGCAGAGAGACGAGAAGATGCAGCACCGCGTCCGCGAGCCCTTTATATGGAAAAAATCGATTCCGGCCGTTGAGAATCGATTTTGAATCGAACACATTTTAAAAAACGATTAATCGAAAAATCGATTTTTTTGCCCAGCCCTAATCTCTCTATATATCCATCCATCCAAGTGTGAATGTCTGTTTTTGTGTTAACAGGAACAGAATGAAACTCTTTATAAACTGAAATGTGAAGTGGAGCGAGTGAAGAGAGACGGAGAGAAAGACACAGAGCGACTGAAACATCAATCAACAGAGCTGAAGCGCAGCGTCGAGAGAGAACAGAAGCTACGCTGCGATCTGGAGGTGAGTTTCAGGTGTGCTGATGGTCAGAGCTGTTCTGTAGCTCAAACACGGTGTGTGTGTGTGTGTGTGTGTGTGCGTGCAGGCAGCTCTGCAGAGGACGAAGGTTCTGGAGCAGAGTGTCGAGTCGGAGCGAGTCAGCTCTGAGATCATCCAGGTAACACACGCGTGTTTATGAGCGTGCACATGCTGGAGCAGAGTCCGCTCATCTGTGTGTGTGTGTGTGTGTGTGTGTGTGTGCAGATGAGGATGAGAGATCTGGAAGGCGCTCTGGAGCTGGAGAAGAAAGGTCACGCAGAGGTCATGTCGAGTCTAGAGCTCATGAAGCAGAAGTTCGGGGAGGTGGAGCGAGCGAACGCTGACGAGAGAGACCGATCACATGACCTGAGCCACAAACTCTCACAGTGAGGCCAAACACACCAGGCTTAAATATATTCAGCACACCAGACGTTTTTACCGCTTCTTAAGACGACTGCGTTTAAGTTTGCATTATTAAAGCTTCTGAAATGTTTGTCTGAGGATAACAGCATTATAAAGTACATAGATTATAACCCCCCCCCCCCCCCAAATATATACAAATATATATATATATAAATTTAACAATGTTAAATTTTAAAAATTTAAAATTTAACAAATTGCAGATTTGACAAATGATCCGACCCTTGGCTCAAAAAATAGTAAATGCATGAATTGTGTGATCCGTTGCACTGCTAATAGTGCGGTGTGAACAGTGTCTCCTCTTCGACCGCTGTGGTGTTGCGATATGTGTTTGAGATCTTATGTTTTTATGTTCGTGATGATGTGTTCAGGTTGGAAAAGGACTTCTTGACCATGAGAACTGATCTGATTGGTCAGCTGGAGCATGAGAAGGCAGAGTCTGTGGATCTGATTAGTCAGCTGGAGCATGTGAAGGCGGAGTCTGCGGATCTGATTGGTCAGTTAGAGCAAGAAAGGGCGGAGTCAGTGAAGCTGTCCGTCAAACTGCAGGAGCAGGAGAGAGTGTGTTCAGAGACACAACAGGAACACATGCGGGTAAACGCTCGCGTGTCTCTACACCTGACAACTATACACTCAAACTAAACATCACTCAGACACCGGATATAGACCATTTCACAAGATGTAAACAACACTGGTCCAGAAGCACTTCCTGTTTCAGTTTTTTAACACTACATAAAAGCTGGGATAAAATACAACCAACAGAAACATATAAAACTGAATCAAAAAGTTAAACAAACATCTTTAAGATGTATTGTTTACATATGAAATAAAGAAAACAGTTACCAAACTGAAACAGGAAGTGCTTCTGGACCAGCGTTGTTTACATCTTTTGAATGTACGTTCCACTAGTGTGTGATCAGGACACTGTAGTTCACTTCTGTAAGTGAGGAGAGCAAAATAAAGGAAACTGTGACATATTACACACAATATTCTTCATACAGTGACTACCATTTACACACATTTGAGACCAGAAATGATTCCTCCACTTTGAGCTGATGATGTTTTGCTGAAGTGTGTTTTCTGTAAGTGCTAATGCTCTTTTTGCAACATGAAGCATTGCTTGGTCACTAGTTGAGCTAAACTGCTATTATCTAATTGTGGAGTTAAATTTAACAGATATTCAACATAATTCATGTGAGAGTCCAACAGAAGGACAAAACCAGTCCAATATCCACTGATCTGAGAACTGAGTTCTGCTCATGTTTATAAACTGATGACTGATTTATCATTTTTGCAATTTGATTTAATGTATTATGCTTTCAAATAACAACCAGCTAAATTATGTGTGTGTGTGTGTGTGTGTGTGTGTGTTTTAGGTGCAGGCGTCGTATGACAGTGTGCTGAGTGATCTTGATCAGGTGGTACACCAGTATCAGCAGCAGGGGGCGACACACACTTACAACACAGGTCAGTGAACAAGACACACACACACACACACACACAGATCAGAAGACGGACACCACTGCTAATGAATCAACACTGAACCGATGTGAATAACGCCGCTTGTGTTAAGTAGGTGTGTTCTAAAGTCTTCCTGTAGTCAATAACGGTATCCCTTAAAACTCATGTTTAATCTCCAAAATTACACATTTAAATGCCTTAAAATATCTTGAATGTAACTCGACACCCTTGCCACATTTAGTATGGGTGGTTCTATATGCAAATGAGCCCCGCCTCCACTCACTCCCTCACTCAGAGATCCACTGGTTGGCGATCACACGTTGATCTGATTGGTTCCAAGGTGGTTTGTGACGTCAGAAACACCAGCGATTTCACAGCGTGTTTTTGAGACTGTCTTTGGTTCACTGCAGTTTTAAGGCTCGGTTGTTGAATGCGTTAAAAACTAACGAGATCCTTAATGAGGAAATGAACATCGCGCATTACTGTCCCTGAAAGTAAATACATCACCTCATTAGTTATTCTGGGGGAATATTGTAACACATTACTTTTAAAAGTAACTTCTGCCAACACTGATTAACACTGTTATTTCCGTGTGTGTGTGTGTGTTGTAGAAGGATATAAACACAACGCATCTGCTCTGATGGACATCCTGCAGCGAACGCTACACAACTACAGCACACAGGTACACCTACACACCTGAGAAGTGTGCTTCAAATCTTGTGCCAATGCAAATTATACTGCATATTTTGATAAAGGTGTGTGTGTGTGTGTGTGTGTGTGTGTGTGTGTGCAGTCGCAGGAGTCTGTGGTCGTGCTGCAGAAGCTGGATGGTGAGATCAGACAGAAGGATGAAGTGATCTCGGATCTCCAGATGAAGCTCCAGGTGTGTGTGTGTGTGTGTGTGTGTGTGTGTGTGTGTGTGTGTGTGAGCTCTCCATGAGGTGATGGTGTTTCCTCTGTCCGTGTGCAGGAGTGTGAGGCTCGCGGTGTGTGTGTGCATGAAGAAGCCAAGCGTCTGCGTGCCTGTGTGTCAGACGCTGCGGTGGAACTGCGCAGACTCTCTCAGCAGCTCCAGGAGGAGAAAACACAACACACACACACACACGCACAGATCAACACACTGCGACAGCAGCATCACAGCGACGGCCAGGTACCAGAGCGTACACAACTAACTAAATCAATATGAACTGGAATATATCAAAGTAAATGAGCTCATATGACTGACTTTATACACTTTTATACAGTATACATACAATAGTAGTGTATTATGGGCTCATTTTATCTCAGCTAGTTGCTAAGGCAACAGTTCTCATTTTAGTTTAACTTTATATACTAAAATAATGAAAACTAAAGTAAAAATGAATAACATTTTTTTTAAACAAAACTACTAAAAATTACAAAAACACTAAACGAAATGTTATATGAAAAATAAAAGCTAATTCAAAATAAATTAATAAAACTATAATAGTAAATTAGTGAAACTAAAAGAAGAGAACTATAACGGAACCGACAAAAACACTCAACAAAATTACTAAAAAAGGTATTAATAAAAACTATAATCATGCTACAAAAACATCACTGTCGGCTTCACACACTCACCCTCAGTGCTTGCTCTTCCTGACACACTTTACAGTGCTCGACCTGACCCGACCCGACCCGACCTGACCCGACCTGACCCATTAGTTTCTGTTTGCTTTTGTTGTTCATTGTATATTTTCTGTGTTTAGGAGAAGCTGGCGTTCCTGCACACGCTCTACCAGCGCATGCTCGCCGGGTGTGTGCTGGTGACCCCGCCGCACTGCATGCTGGGTAGCTTCTCGTGGGCGGAGCTTAGTGCGCTGGTGCAGGAGCACATGGACACGCTGACCTCTGACCTCGCCGCAGCCAATCAGAAGGTGAGCAGGGGCTTGTGGGAAAGGTGTGCTGTAGATGTTGTGCAGTCCTGATGTGTGTGTGTGTGTGTGTGTGTCAGGTGTCGTGTCTGGAGAGTGTGTGTGAGGGGAAATCAGCAGCGCTGGAGAGCGTGAGCGCACAGATGAGGCAACGAGAGGAGAGATGGGTCAAACTGAGAGAAGACCTCGACACACGACACACACACCTCAACCAGCAGCTGCAGCTCAAAGTACAGGTACACACACACTCTGATTCGGTACTCTAACTAACATCTCTATCAGTGGCCTCATTCATAGCCCATATTGTGCTCCTCCACAGTCCTGATGTGTTCAGGCTCTCCTAGATCAGGTTTTCCTGCTTGAATGTTGATTATTCTCCTCATATTCTCCAGTGTTGCGGCTCCTCTCTTCCCAGTCTGTCAGGAACGCTCTGTTTACTTCCTGTCTCTGTGAAGCCCCTCCTCCTGAAAGCACACTGTGCTCTGATTGGTCGGCTGGAGCAGTGTGTTGTAATTGGTCTTCGAGTGTGTTTGGGAAATGTCCCGCCCCTTCCCATAACTGCCAGTTTATCACACTACTAACTAACTCCATCAGGCCCCGCCCCTTTATTCAAATATTCGCATGAATTATTATAATGAGGAATATTGAGACCGGGAGAAACGCTGAGATACTAACCTACTGTCTCTGCAGGAGCTCAGTGTTCAGCTGGAGCGTGCTCAGTCCGAGCAGAGGCAGGAAGTGATGCGTCTGTGTGTGGCGTGCGGGCTGCTCGCGGGGTGTGTGCGCGCGCTGCGGAGGCAGGTGTGTTTGCTAGCGTGGCAGAAGCTCGTGCTGCTGGAGCGAGTGAGTGACGCGGACGCCATGAAGACGGAGGTCGCGAAGCTTCTGCAGGCGCTCGGTGAGCCCGGGGTCAAAGGTCACGGCAGGTTTCGCCGCTACGCCATCGCTGTGCTAGCGGCCGGGCGTCTGCGCGCTCTGGGACGCGGCTCCGGCGTGATGTTCAGGGTGGCGGTGGGCGTCGGGCCGCACGTGTGTGTGAGAGAGGAAGAGGAGGACGGAGTGAAGAAGACGCTCACGTCCGCGGCGCTGATCGAGCTCGTGCACACGTGCGTGGGGGAAGTCCAGGAGGACGTCAACAGAACCAGTGAGAAACACACACACACACACACACTTAACTGATATTGCAACTAGAGATGTATCATACAATAATCGCGACCGCTGATCATGTGACCGCCAGGCTCGGCTGCAGTGATGTCAGCGGCTCAGAGCGGGTGCAGGAAGATGTTGGAGCGGCTCCTCTGGGACGTGGACTCTCAGTGCGCAGGGCATTATGGGAAGGACTCGTTGGCACGGCGACTGCGTGACGGACTCCACGCGCAGAACACTAAACACAGCTCCTGGAACAGCAAGGTACCCGCGTGAGACGACTGCGACAACTCCGATGACGCCCACAATAATAACTAAAAAACGTTAGCGATTAGTCGTGTCTGCCCGCTGTGCGGCGGTGAGTTTAGCTGAAAGATCTGCTGCTGGACGTTAACGCCAACAGTGGAGGATTGAAGTGTTTAATGCATCACTGCGTGACATTAATATACATGTAAAACGTTTCTAACATTTACAGGATAAAGACTATTAGATTAATTATCGAGCAACTAATCGATTATCAGAATGATCATAGCTCTACATCATAGACATATACACTAGACGTCACCTTGGCTACGGCAGTTCATTGGAACGAATGTGTCAATAGAAACAGGGGAGCCCCTCCACTTTAATGCATCAGACACAGGTCTAACGGAAATAAAATCATAAATCATCATGAATGCGATTTTTCTTGTTTTTTTGGTTTGTTCCAACGGTCAGACATGTATTTATCATTGATTCCAGAAAGACATTTTTTATTTTTTTTTAACATTCTTCCTAGTTCAGATTTCATCCGTGAACATCATACGCTGCACAAAAGTCCGCCACCATCAATGAATTCGAAGTAAAGGCAGAGATAGCAGCGTTACCTAGCTACTTCCTATGACAAGACCCCTGTTCCAAGATGGCGGCGGGTTTGACACATGCTTAGAACCCCAAGGTGACGTCTAGTGTATATGTCTATGGCTCTACATGAGGGGAAGTTGAGTGTTCTCTGCTCGATTGTGTCGTACACGAGTGAAACGCTTCAGGAACGAGTGTGGGCGGGGCTTGATTGTCTGTGGGGAGTTGATTGGATGGCTGACAGGTGGTCCCGCCCTCGAGATGTCGCTGTAACGTGTGTGTGTGTGTGTGTGTGTAGATGATGATGGCGTCTCTTCAGAAGCACATCCTGGAGTTCACACAGCGACTGCATTCAGCGGAGGTGGAGCGGAGGAACCTGAGACTGGAGCGCACACACACACACACCGGCAGAGACACACACACCGTGAGTCAGACACACACACACACACACACTGTGAGTGCTGAAACTTCTGCTTTGATCACAGGAATAAATTACACGTCTGTAGGAATTGTATTTGATCAGAAATAATTCATTAAATAATAAACAATAATATTAATTTATTGTAATGTACTGAATGTACATTTAGACAAATGCCTTTCTGCTGTGTGTGTGTGTGTGTGTGTGTGTGTGTGTGTGTGTGTGTGTCAGGCGTGTGCCCCCCGCCGGCAGCTGGAGCGAGTGTGTGAGGAGCTCAGCTGTGCCCTCCAGAGGGAGCTCCGCGCTCAGGCTCTCCTGCACGACCAGGCCTCTCAGCTGCAGCAACTGGGCCTCAGCATGGAGCTGCACACGGGGGACGAGCTGGAGAAGGACCGCACGCTCGCACAGGCTGTGCAGGTACACACACACACACTTTCCTGCATACAGTCGTGTTAATAGTGTCCTCTGTGAACATGTGCCGTCACACACCCCTCAGTGTCCAGTTCGGCTTGTAACTCATAATAACTGCTTTATTCATAAACAAACAGTGGAAGAACATTCGACGCTAACCCCAGAACCTGCATCGAGCTTATAATCTCTGAGATATGACAACACCACAAACAACTAATCCATGTAACATCGTGTCCTATTATACAAAAATTGACAAAAAGTAACTTTTATTGTTCTAGTTGTGATTTGATGACATGTAAAGAGCGCTTGCTCTGCTGCCTGAAGTCATCATGCTCCATCTGACACTTAAACATGTCCAGTGACCCCTGACCCAGTCTACAGATGTGGGTTTCATAAAGTTAGGGTTAGATGTAGATGTGCCGGAGTGAGAGAGTGAGGTGTGTGTGTGTGTGTGTGTGTGTGTGTGTGTGTGTCCAGAGTTTGTCGGACGCTAAGCTGGAGCTGAGGAGGACGCATCAGTCGCTGCGCTCCCTGGGGAAACGGCTCAGCCAATCACAGCAGGACAACCAGGAGCTGCAGCGCAACATCATCAGCGCAGAGAACACACTGCACACCGCAGAAAAGTAACACACACACACACACACACTCACTTAAAGACACACACACTCATGATCTTCAACAGGTTGTTTTGTGTTTGCAGGAATAAAGAGTCTCTGATGAGCTTCATGAAGTGTGTGGAGGAGCGTCTGAAAGAGGCAGGAGCTCACACACACACACACGCACACGCACACACACACGCGCACACACACACGCACACACGCACACACACGGCTGAACGGCCCCTCGGTGTGTTTCTCTCTCAGATGAAGGTCCTGCTGTCCGGAAACGCCCCGTCTCAGGATGACTTCTTCCTCCAGCTCTCCCGAGTGTGTCTCATGCCGGCAGACTCGCAGAGCATCATGGGAAACCCAGAGAGAGACGCGTGCCAGGTACACACACCACACAGCGTATACTTCATGACATCGTGAGCGGTCACATGGACGTGAATCGGGAGTCGTAACGGATGTTACTGTCGTTACAGTCACATGTTTAACTTTGTGTGTGTGTGTGTGTGTGTGTGTGTGTGTGCAGCGTCTGGTGATGCGTTTCCTGGAGCTGTTCCAGCTGATCCGCTGTAAGATGTCCCCTCAGAGGCCGTCGTCCTCATGCGAGTGTGACGCCAGCTGTGTGCCGCCGAGGGAACACTCCTGACCTCCGCTGTGCTGAACCTCTGAACCACACACACACACACACACACACACACACACACTCCTGCCCTCCACAGTGCTGAACCTCTGCTGCTGCTACACACACACACACACACACACACTCTCTCTCCTGCGGAGGTTGGTAACGCTTTTGTACTTGCTGTGTGAACACAAATCGTTCTCGTCCTTCTAGCCGTCAGCAGAGGAGGATTATGGGATGTGTGTGAGGAGCTCATCTTCATCAGCTCGTCCGTCCCTGAGGATGATGATGTTTATCAGTGACATTATTAGATCTGCAGTGGTTTATTGAAGCTGATCCCTCTCTCTCTCACACACACACACACACAGCAGAGTGGGGTAAGATGGGACGCACCCGAAGTCTGCTTCACTTTTGACTTTCTAAATGTACATTACTGGCCGGAAGTGTTGACTCGTGAAGACGGTGACACACACACACACACAGGCGTGTGGCGCTGCCGGGCGATCGAGAGTTACGGGTGTGTGTGCCACAGATGAACCTTTCTCACAACTCTGACAATAAAGTCGCAATTACCTTCTTATTATTATGATTTTTTTTTCTTCATAATAATTAGAACATCAACTTCAAACTATATAACACACACACACACACACTCTCTCACTCAAACACACACACTCACTCATACACACGCAATCACTCTCACAAACATAAAAACACACACACACACACACACACACAAACATAATCTTTTCTCATAAAAGCAGTAAAGCTCAAGCTGGTTATTCGTTATTTGACACTGATTCTGTGAATAAGTCCCAGTGACACTGAGTTTATCTGTGTGTGTGTGTGTGTGTGTGTGTGTGTGTGTGTGTGTGTGTGTGTGTGTGTGTGTGTGTGTGTGTGTGTGTGTGTGTGTATAATCCTCCTTCCGTCTGAGGAAATCCTCTTTCCAGCCGCCATCCAGAGATGAGGAGACACCAAGTGTGTGTGTATGTGTGTGTGTGTGATCAGGGTTCTGTGACTGAGGGTCCGACTGCAGGCGCTGAAACTCAGTGTTTCGCTGAAGCAGGAGTTTATAAGTGTGTGTGATCAGACATCAGACGCTTCTGTAACTCAGTTCTCCTCTGCATAATTCGTAACCGCAGACGTGACCAAAAACCACTGAAAGCATCATAACAGAAGTTCATGTGACTAATAGAAGTTGTTGGATAGTTGTGTGTGAGAAACTGACATGACATCATGACTTTTGCGTAAACACACGTGGCGTGTTATCTATATGCATTTTGAGCTATCCGCGTGTATGCGTACGCCATTAAATGTCCACGTGATTCCGCATGTGTGTACACGCCGTTAAATGTCCGAGTGAAACGAAGCAAAATGTAGATCTACATCTAGGGAGTGATGTATATTTTCCTAGGACGGTAGGGGAACACTGGGGTAGGTCATATTTATACATTAATGTAACGTTAAGTCAAACGGCGTTCATAAACACGCAGAAAAGCGATTATGCGTGTTGATAGCGCGCCAAAAATGGAAATACGAATTGGCGTGTCATCAATGCAATTTCATCAGCGATGTTCCGGTGTGTGTGTGTGTGTGTGTGTGTGTGTGTGTGTGTGTGTGTGTGTGAGTGCGCGTGTTTGAGTGTGTGTATAAAATACTGTAAATGTGACTCTCTTCTGGTCACTGTGTCTGTAAGAGGATCATGTGGCCGAACAAACTAACAAAAAAGTTAATCTCCTGTAAAGCAGTTTCACACACACACACACACACACACACTGCCAGCCGTTTCTGCTGTAACGACACATTTCACCGCTTAAAGTCCCTTCATTATGAATACATTCATCACTGACGCTCATTACAGGCTGATTAAGTCATGATGATGATGATGATGTCGTTTTGTTGCTCGTCGTTGAAAAGGGAAAAAGAGCAAAATATGTACAAGCTTAAATCGTTTTATTAAAACATGATAGTTTGAGGGGAAAGCTGCTCTTCGTCGCGTCAGCATGTCTGAGGATTTACGGCGTAACCGGAATATGCTCTATAATGTTCCCATAAACTTATCAAAATGTTATTTCTAAATGTTATGGGCAAAATGTCAGTTTTTTAAAAAATGTTTGAAAAACGTGGTCATGCTAAGGAAAATTGTATAATTATTCAAAAATTATGGGAACGTAGGCTACATTTGAGTGTTTTCTGAACGTTCTCAAACATTTTTAAACATTAAATGAACATCCACATGAAACACAGGAAAACAGTTGTATAAATAATGTTTTTGTGCTCGTGTTTTTAGAAGATTAGAGAGTAGATAGCTCGTCGCTGAATGTGTGTGTGTGTGTGTGTGCGCGCGCGCGCGCGTTCCCGGTCAGCAGTGGCGCCTCCAGAAATTTTTCGTAGGGGTGGCCAGATGGGGCCAGTTAAAATCTTGGGGTGGCACACCAAAACTACAGTATAAACCATAATTTCAGAATTGTTTTCTACTGTTGTAATAAACCAGCCTGTAGAAAACTATCAGAAAGACTTAAGGAAACTCCTACTGATATACTTTGGTTTATTGTGTAATATTTAATGTTACTAATGATATTAGTAGGGCCCAACTAATATATATTACATTGTATATAATGATATATATTATATGATATATAAGGGTCCTTGCCCCACAGCAAATTTCCAGATACTTACATAATTGTGATGAATTTAATCATTTTTAAGTTATTAGTTTGCAGTGTAAGATTACAGTTAACACCTTTAAATATTACATAAATGTATTATGAATTTTTAATACACTTAATGAGTGTATACATCAGCAGCAAAAAGTAATTCTTGAAAAAATCTGCACAGTAATTTTATAAAATCTAAATATGTTAATAAAAACAAATTACTATTAGTTCTCTTTTAAAATTCAATCAGGCAATCATGTCACAATTTTATATTTATATATTAATGTCAAGAATTCAGAAGTGCATAGCCTAAACTACAAATAAATTATATACAATTAAATTATGCTTATTTAAAATGTATTGAGCAGGCTAGGTATAACAAAATATATTGGCTTTTAATAATATTTCAGTGCGCAAACCCATGATTGAGCCCGTTCTTGCATGATTACATGAAAAACATCGCGGGTGCAGAATGATGTGCTCAAAGCAACATGGAGTCACAGTGTGCAGCAGCACTGCGCTTCAGAAGTGTGCATTTAAAAGCTCATGTCACAAATCGAAAAATGAGCGCACAAATCCAAGTGCGATTTGTTCCTTTGTTTCACTTATTGTGCGTTTGATGCCGATTCATAATCCTTGTGATATGTATGTGTGATCTAACAGAACACGGTAGTGAGTCGCTTAAAAACAGCAACAAACTCCAAGAAAATAAAGTAATTTTATGCGAATATACAGACTTTTATCTACAGATCATGCATTTATAATGTGAATATATCATATTGGAGAGAGTTTTACCGTGCATCCAAGAGGCGCGCGTGCTGTTTGAATATGAATGGAGAATGATGACAGTCGCAGAGGAGGGAAAACGAGTTTATACTTTAATGATGTAAATATAGTTCTGTCCCTCACATTAAGCTATGGAATGACTTCAGATGACTTTGTCACCCAAACTGACGTGAAAAAAGCGGGAGGCGCCGAAAAGCGCGCTGTTTGCATCCCTGCCTGTCCAAACGTGGCAAAAACACACCTAAAAGCTGCTGTATACCATTTGGCACTTAAAAAGCACGTCACGACACATAATTCCCCGTCTTCTTTCACTTAAGAATATTTTTGACTTATTTATAAAATGCATAACTGATGCTACAAAAATTAATACTGGCCATTGGGGTGGCCAATGGGGTGGCCAGGAGTCGGCCAGGGGTGGCCATGGCCACCCCTGGCCACCCCCTGGTGGCGCCATTGCCGGTCAGGCGCGCGGTTGCGGTTCCTCCACAGAACGACAAATAAACCTGAGGGTAAGGGTTCTGAGTTTTATCACAAAATTCTGACATTTTCCCCTCACAACTGCGTTATAAAGTCAGAATTGCGTGATATACAGAGTTTATAACACGCAATTTTGACTTCATATCCCACAATTCAGAGATAAACTCGCAATAGTGAGATGAAAAGTCGCAATTATCTTTTTTAATGTTTAATTGTTCGGCGAAACAAACTTCCCTGGGTTCGGGAGCGGGAAAGACTTCAGAAAGTCCATGAAATGACCAGAATGTGTTTTCCTCCCATCATGAACTTGTTCTGAAAGTGATTTGAGTTTTAATTATGACAAATATCAGTAGCCTGCGGTGAGTTTCTGTCTGTTTCTCGAGTGTGTGTGTGTGTGTGTGTTTGTGTTTGTCCCCCTTTACAGCGCCGATGTGCCAAGTTGGATCGAGCACAAAGAGAGGAGTTCTCGTCTCAATGTGGGACAGCAGAAAGTGGCATCAGAGGGAAAGAGGACTAAAGTAGGCTTTCCTCCTCCTCCTGTGTGTGTGTGTGTGTGTGTGTGTGTGTGTGTGTTGGCCGCGGATAGCAGGTAGAGAGGCTCCACGAGAGCCGCTTTGATGCGGTCCCCAGTTCCTTAAACACAACAACCTTCATTAACTCACATCGCCGGTCCCTTCAGGTTCATTACCAGCTCTATCACACACACACACACACACACACACACACACACACTCCGCGATTAAACATTCATCCTCGTGTTTCTAGGTGTTGATTCGGGCTCCGCTGCCAAAGGCCTGGTTTGCGTGCCGTTCCGGGGTTTGATGCCGCAGGTTCGTCCCTCCGGACTGTAATATTCTGATCCTGGAACAGTTCGTCTTGTTTTCGGCTGTTTTGATCAGTTGCAGGATTCGCTCAGGAACTAGATCAGCTTTACAAAAATATGTTCTCAGAATGTTTTGTAACGAATGTTTAAAGAACATTCTTCAAACGTTATAGGAACGCTACTTTTGAATGTTCTCTGAACGTTCTGAAACAGGCTAGTTAAAGGAGAACCTTTGGTCGGTACATAGTCAACCGTTCTCTGAGATTTGTTTTCAGGATAATCGAATGTAAAGAGTTTTATCTCTAAAAACTGTTTAGCGTATAATGCTTGTAATGGGGGCATTGACTAACAGGTACGCACAGGCGCATTTGATAGACATTCTTAGCAGCACCCAATAAACAGCGCCGGGCATTCGTAAACCACGCCTCAAATACGGGAAATGAGTATTAAAACTTTTCAGTTATCACCTTTAGTTTAACACAGCTCAACTCTCAACACTTACAATAAGGTAATATTAAGTTAATGTTAATCTCAACATACTATACATTTATAAGATGAACATTTGTACGTTTATTTTCCCATTAAAACAATAAAGGTCAGAGGCTGTGCAAAAATTAATTGCGATTAATCGCATCCAAAATAAAAGTCTGTGTTTACATAATATATTTGTGTGTGCTGCATATAATTATTTTGTATATATATAAATACACACACATGCATGTATATATTTAAGAACATGTGTTATTCATATATCAAATATTTATATTTATATAATATAGATTATGTATTTATAAATATATACAGAATTTAGGCGCAAATAATTCTTAAATATATACATGCATGCATAGGTATTTATATATACAAAATAATTATATACAGCACACACACATATATTATGTAAACACAGACTTTTATTTTGGATGCAATTAATCGCAATTAACTTTTGCACAGCCCTAATGCTATACTGCAATACATTCTTTTCTTACTCAGTGTTTCTGTCTAGTTTACAGTCCAAATATCTAACAAATGTTAAATCAAGATGCATTTACTTGATGAGTGAAATAACATCAGATATTATATCCTGTCTTCTGGAGAATAAATAAGAATTAAGTGAGTCGATGCTCAAAAACAAGCAAAATTATCTGCAGATGGAGTGAGAAAAATAATGTTTCTGTTTGAATTATGATTATTTTTCTCCATCAGCAGATTTTTTTAAGCATGAACTCACTTAATTTTGATTAATTCCTCAGAAAACAGGACATAATATCTGATGTTATTTCACTCATCTAGTAAATTGATCTTGATTTAACATTTGTTAGATATTTGCACTGGAAACAGGACAGAAACACTGAGTGAGAACAGCATGTTTTGCAGTGTGTAAGAATAAGCTGGTGTTAAAGCATAAACCCTTTTTTTGTAACTTTTAAAATCTCACATTATGCTTGAGATTTATCATTTGCATACCGCGTTGTGATTTGCTCCGTTTTCTTGAATATTTTTGCATTTATATTGACTTTTGCAAAGTCTGAAACCTGAACTTCAGCACAGAACTACAGAACAGAGCGATGTCCTCCAGCAAACACACATCTCCACTTCAGAACATGTAATCCCTCACAACAGGAAGAGAAAGTGTCTCATGTTAAAATGCTGATCAGCAAATCTGGAATCTGTGCAGTTTTCGCCCAGAGCACTTTCCCTTACTCTCTCTCTCTCTCCAGGACAAAAGAACGCTCTCCTCCAATCAGACGAGCCGCTCGGCTGTTCTCATTAAGAGTGGGAGGAGTCTTGCAGTTTTGGAGTGATGGTGATTCTGCTGTAAGATTCACTGATGATCTGATCAGAACTTCAGCGGACTGACCCGATCCCGGACCCGGACCCGCAGGAGTCTGAAGACATGGGGACGTGGACACACACACTCCACCTGGAGGTATCGCATACACACTAATATATCTTCTGAGAAATATGTTCTCCAGATATTTTGAAAGAGATGACGGCTTATTAAATGGGGTTTAGGATGTTTTTGGATAGATGTTAAATGAATACATGTAAATATACGGATTACAGTTGAACATTATTCACAAATAGTACAATTTTAACTATTAAAACTAAAAAAATGACTTTAATAGTATAAATTAATTTATTAGAACTAGTTTTCCTTTAGTTTATTGTCTTTTTCACTCAGTTTCACACTCATTTCTTGGAGAGTACAAGTACAAGTTTGTCTTGATGTTTTCAGCATGGTGTGTGTGTGTGTGTGTGTGTGTGTCAGGCGGACAGTGACGAGTCTCTCCTGAAGCGTGAGGAACGGGTCGCGTCGGTGAAGATGAAGGAGGTACACACTCTTCTGTTTATTATGACTTAAATCTCTCCGTCTTTCTGGACACAAGTGTAAATCCTGCATTTTAGCTTCACTTTATTCAATTTCTTGAATTCATTTAATTACTCTTGAGTAACTGCAATTCATCATTGTCTTTAACATTGTAACTTGTTCAGATTTAGATTTTGAACACTTCTTTTGTCTCTAGATCTGTCTGGTTTATGTACTTTATCTTTTTGTTATTTGATAGAAATAGAAAACTTTAGGTGTATTTTGAACTTTAGTTTTTTTACTTTTAGTTCATTAAGATTTTAAACCTACTTTAAAGTCGTCATGAAACGCTGTCATGAAATATCGAGAGGAACGCTTCAGGAACGAGAACACATGTGGGCGGGGCTTGACTGTCTGTGGGGAGTTGATTGGATGGTTGTGGTTTGCTATTGGCCGATCTCCTGTGAGTGACAGGTTATAGCCCCGCCCACATCACTAGAGAAGAGAAGCTGCAAGAGGAACTGATTCTGAGTCAGCGTTATTAACACATCATTGGGAATCAGGAGATGTGTTTAATCTGACGCTGTGTGTCGTGTCCCGCAGACTGGCTGCTCACACTCGGACTGTCTCTGTGAGTGCTTTCTGCCGGGACGACATCATATCCGGTCATGTGATCGCTGTGATCACGGCTGGGTCGCCCACGGTACGAAACACACGTTTGTTTTGTGATATTTTATGAAACTTGATTCCCATCAGAAGTGATTGGTGTGTGTGTGTGTGTGTGTGTGTGTGTGCAGCGGTTGGGAAGGTGTGTCCAGCGCTGGTGTGTTCGGGCCAGGTGGAGATCGTCCAGAGTGACGGTGTGTTTGACATCGCGAGTCTGATTCTGTTCGGGACGCAGGCGCTCCCGGTGCGCATGAAGATCCTGCTGGACCGGCTGTTCAGCGTCCTCACACACACACAGGTGCTCAACATCATACACACTCTGGGCTGGACGCTGCGAGACTATGTGAGAGGATACATGCTGCAGGTACACACACACACTCACTCACTTACACACACATTGAATAATGATGAACAAATTGAATTTGTATCATAAGTGATGAACTTGGGTGCAGTAATTGAGCAGAATGATCTGGACTCTCCCTCAGGACTGCATGGGGAAGGTTCTGGACCGCTGGGTCTCCATGAGCCTGGAGGACGAGGTCGCGACCCTGCGGCAGTTCCTGCGTTTCGGGGAAACCAAACCCATCGTGGAGCTCATGTTTGAGGAGGTGCGTCCGGGAGCAGATCCCTCCGAGGAACGAGGACACTCCCAGAAGCCAGCGTTCCCTCGGCCGCTCCCCTTGATCAGCGCGCCGCTCTTCCCAGCGGATCCTCATCCGGTCCCGCAAACACTGAGCAAGCAGAGCGTGTGCGAGGCGAGCAACACGGAGATAAACACACGGAAACACACCGAACCGCGTCTCCGTGATCCCTCGGGAACACGCGAGCGCCGGCACGGATCGTCCGCGGGGAAAGGCCGCGTGAGTTGCGACGAGTGCGCTAAGACGTTCTACGATAAAGGAACGCTGAAGATCCACTTCAACGCGGTGCATCTGAAGATCAAACACCGCTGTACGATCTCCGGCTGCAACATGATGTTCAGCTCGCTACGCAGCCGCAACCGGCACAGCGCTAACCCCAACCCGCGCCTGCACGCTGCGCTAGAGCACGTGGCCCGCAGATTCAGACCTGTTTCCATGGCAACCACCAACACGCGAATGCACGCCGCGCTCGATCACGTGACCCGCGGACCCCCGCCTGTTTCCATGGCAACCACCAACACGCGACTACTCACCACACTCGATAACGTGACCCGCGGACGCACACCCGTTTCCATGGCAACCACTGACACGGTCTCGACCGACCATCGTCCAAGCGTCTGTGAGGCTCACAACATCTCAGGAGGAGGAGGAGCTACAGGCAACCGTGCAGCCAATCAGAATGGCCGGAGTCATTTGATTGACATGACGCCTCAAAAGAAGCCGCGGAAGTCCAGCACGCCGCTGAAGTTCAAGCCGGCGGTTTGCATCGAGACTGATGATGATCACGTCACAATATCACCACGGCGACTAGTCAACAGCCTCAGTGGCAACAAGCATCACACGTTCAACACCCGTCACTACAAACAGTTTCCCAAGACACTGTATGGTTACCGTAGCAACGTAGAAGAGGGAAACAATCAGATGACGAGAGAGTTTCTAAGAGTGGATGATGAACGGAAAGAGAGATATCGACATCTGTTAAAGGTCAAAGAGGAGATGTGTGAACCCACCTGTGACTGTAGAGGTAATCGCCATAGCAACCTGTGACTGTAGAGGTCATCGCCATAGCAACCTGTGACTGTAGAGGTCAATACCATATTAACCTGTGACTGTAGAGGTCATCACCTTAGCAACCTGTGACTGTACAGGTCATCACCATAGCAAGCTGTTACACTGTAGAGGTAATCGCCATAGCAACCTGTGACTGTAGAGGTCATCGCCATAGCAACCTGTGACTGTAGAGGTCAATACCATATTAACCTGTGACTGTAGAGGTCATCACCATAGCAAGCTGTTACACTGTAGAGGTAATCGCCATAGCAACCTGTGACTGTAGAGGTCATTACCATATTTACCTGTGACTGTACAGGTCATCATGATAGCAACCTGTGACTGTAAAGGTCATCCACATGACAACCTGTGTCTGTAGAGGTCATCACCATAGCAACCTGTGACTGGAGAGGTCATCACCATAGCAACCTGTGACTGTAGATGTCATCACCATAGCAACCTGTAACTGTAGAGGTCATCCACATAGCAACCTGTGACTGTATAGGTCATCACCATAGCAACCTGACTGTAGAGGTAATCGCCAGGGCAACCTGTGACTGTAGAGATCATCGCCATAGTAACATGTGACTGTAGAGATCATCGCCATAGTAACATGTGACTGTAGAGGTCATCACCATAGCAACCTGTGACTGACAGCTCGAGATCAGAACTGACTCTGTGGTTTTATTCTGAGCGATTCATCAAAGCAGGGTTTTCATAAAAATAATGAAGTGTATTTGTGAACTTGAAACAAAATATATTGACTTGTAATAATGTTGGCTCAAAATCTTGTATGACATTTAATGCTGGTTAATGTAAAGTAATAAAGTTTACAGAGATAAGATTATATTACATGCTTCAACAATCATGTAAAAATAAAAAATAAAGTTCGAACCCAAAATCAACACAAACCTTTAAACTAGATGTAATTCTCCTCTAAAACCTGATCTCTCTGACCATTCAAAATGTATATTTATATTGTATTATTATTTGTACATTTGTTGCATTTTCATCTTAGCTGCATGTGTATAAAAAGTGCGGAACAATGTACATAAATTGAATGTAACAAAAGACAATATTTAAAAAAAAAAAACAAAAAAAAAAAAACAATACTCCAACTATATCTCAGGCTTTTATTTCTACCGGGAACTGATGTTCTTCATTGAATTCAGTGTTTACTTTGAATTTGTGTTATTTCTGTTAATCGTCTTTATTTCTACGTAAGACTCCATTAAAATAGTTCGTTCGTTCGTTACGAAAATCTTGTAGGCTATAAAGGAGGAGATTTGGAGTTTACTTTTATCTTCATAAACCTAATAACATGTAATATCCCCCCTGAGAGTGGATATGATGTTGGTGATGACGTGTCTCCAGAGCTCATGTGATGCCGCTGCTGTCCGCGGTGCTGAAACCCCACAAACTGTCTTTCTGAAGCCCTGCTCTCAAACTATACTTACAATAAACCATGATTTATTGGTTCATAATATCTGATTCTTCTGTGTATCATCATCCGCGCGCGCTCAGGGCGGGTCGTGTGACGTCACGCGCGCGTTCATCGGTCCAGACACTCGGCGAGTCCGCGCGACCGTAACAGATATTTTGTTTTTAACCCCGAAAGCCTCGAAAAAAACATCAATTGAAGAGGAGCGAAGGGAATAAACAAAGAGTGGAAATGTCTGTGGCGGGCCTGAAAAAGCAGTTTCACAAAGCGACTCAGGTAAGAGCTGAATCCGTCCGTTATTCACGCCGATGATGATGATGATGATGATGACACGATGGGTTTGGTCGCTATGAAACCATCACACGTCAATCATAACACCGTTCATTTGAGTATGAATTCAGAAAACGAGCTTTTGTTCCAGAAGTAGACGCTTATCTGCAGTTAGTGTGGTCGTTTTTGAATGTATGAAAACAGCGCGAGACCTGCGGGTGACCATACACCGTCACGTGATCTCAAATATTCACGCGCGTTATGTAATCGGCCGCGCGCGCTGAAATGATGCTCACCTCAAGGGATACAGACAGATTTCTGGGTTTTATTTGTAAAAAGATATCTTCTGTGTAGTCCCTAAAGTCTGTACAAAATGCTATTTTTCTCCACCCTGTTGAATATTCACATCATTTTTGAATAAGAAAAAACTGTTCGTGACACCATACAGTCCTTCCTTGACTCACAGCTATGGCATAGCGGGGCGTGTTGTCACAGTGGAAGTCAAGGAAGGACTGTTGAAATTTAAAGTAAAATATGTCTTTCACAATATGTATGGTTTGGGACTTGTTTGATAGAACAAAAAGTATTATTAAAATTATTACTGTTAGAGAAAACAAATATTTATGACTTTTTATTGCATTTCAGTCTTCTCGTGTTATGTGAGGGATGTCTTCATAATGATAATCAGTTTGTTACATCAAAGACGTTACATTTACAATTATTAATTTCTCTAAAATGACTTTTAGACAAGAGTGGATTATTCATAATACATTAAAGGGCACATGTTGTTTGTTTAAAATAGATCCACGCCTCCCAGCCAACCAGAAATAGAAATGTGAATCAATGTTCTGTCCTTACCACACACACACACACACACACACACACACACACACACACACACGCCAACATGAATCAATACTCAAAGTGAACAGAAACAATGTCACATTGGTGGTTAGTTGAGTCTCCACTGTATTTAAAGTTGCAGTGGATAATAAATGTTGAATGTTGAATTCATCAGATTAGCAGCAGAAGGAGGAACAGAGAGAACTGAGGGATTTTTAGGGCTAAAGAGATTTACTCACGAACGATGATTCTAGATCTGGATAGATTAGTGTGTGAAACTGAAGTGTGTTTGTATGAGTGGGAGAGTGAGAGTGTGTGTGAGAGAGAGAGATAATCTGTGTTTGAACAAAATGAGATTATGTCACACATAACAAATATGCTGATGAACACTAAATGAACATTAATACTGTAGGAAAGTTATCCTAAATGATATGTTTAGTAAATATTTATTATAATAATTTGTATAATTGTATAATTAGACAATTTATGGCGACGCTTTACAATAAAGTTCCACTGGGGACATTTCATTTAATATTCAGCAATATTATTATTAATCTCCTGCATTGACAGCATTATATGAGAACTGAACTGAGCTGGACGATGACATCACGATGGTTTTCTCCAGAGCGGATATATATATATATATATATATATATATAAATGAACTAAATTAATAAGTTTTTTACAACAGAAATGAAACATCACTGAAGTGGACTGTGAGGATATTCTCTTCTGTTGCATTATTCTCCTGTTATCTCTGTAAAGCTGCTCTGACACACACTGCACTGTTAGACCTTACCAGGTTTTTTACAGTAAAATACTGATATAAAATAAAATAATTTACTGTAAAAATGCACTAAAACTCAAGTTAACTAAAAAATACAACTTATTAGTTTTAGTGCATTTTTACAACACTGTTGCCAGTAATTTACTGTAAAAATGCACTAAAACTCAAGTTAACTGAAAAATACAACTTATTAGTTTTAGTGCATTTTTACAGTAAATTACTGGCAACAGTGTTGCTAGTATTTTACTGTAAAAAACCTGGTAAGGTCTAACAGTGTGTATAAATAAAGGGGACTTGACATTACTTAAATGCAAAGTTGTGTGTTGAATCTCCAGATGGCACAGGCTGACAGGTCCTTAACTCTGCCTGCAATCACATCATTATAATCAAGTCACCTTCATTTATATAGCGCTTTTAACAATATAGATTGTTTCAAAGAAGCTTTACAGTGATAAAAGAGGGCACAGCTGATTGGTTCCTGCTGTATCTGTATCAGCCAATGAGCTTGTTGCTCAAACTTCATCATAAATGTGGTCAGCAACTGTAGCAGTTACAGCACTTTCAGAAACCCTCCACCTTCCCCAGCTCCACCTGTGTAGATGTGCTTCATGTATGCTATACTGTTATCTGTGTACTGGGAGTAGCAAGTCCCATACTAACCAGAACCAAGCCGATCTATTCAGCAAAGACCAAACATATCCATTATCATGATAAACACTCATTAGTTCAGGCTGTGACTAACATTAACTAACCATGAATAATACATTTGTTACAGCATGAAGTCATCTTTCTTAACATTAGGTAATAAAATACAATTGTTCATTGTTAGTTCATGTTAGCTGAGAATCATTTATTAATATGAACAGATACAACTATTGATTTAGTAAATGTTGAATTAGTATTATTAGCCTTAAAAGTGTTTCTTTTCATTGTTACTTCATGTTTACTAACAATGCTAACAAATACAAACTTATTGAAACGTAACCCGATTTATTAAAACTTTATTTAATTTCTTATTTAATTTATACTCATACATTTTTTTAAATATATTTATGTATTAATACTATTTGAACAAGGAAAACATTTTACATTTTTAAGCAAAAATAGTAATAATTGTATTATTAATAAATGTTAATGTTATTATAATTTTAATGATGTTACTAGTCTTAGTATTTTATGAAATGTATTGTTATGTAAATATTTAATTAATGCGTCTTCATAGTGTGTCTACGCGTTTACATATGTATGTACATGTTATATGATATATTTAAAAACCGAATAGGTTGAAGTTTTGATGGTGAACAGATTGAGTTATTATTATAAACACGTCAGGAGTGTGTTGAGATACGACTAACTCCATATGAAGACGGCGTACGAGAGGAGAGAGATTAATAATTCATGCTCCGAGTAAACCTGCTGCACTGCTCATATTTAATTTATACTGTCCACACACACACACACACACACACACACACACACACACACACACACACACACACACACACACACACACACACACACATGCAGTCAGAGCTTCTCTGTGTTCATAGTCTTCTTACATAACTGACGGATTGACGGATTGATCTCGACATGAGTGAGAGTGAGATGTGTGTGTGTGTGTGTGTGTGTGTGTGTGTGTGTGTGTGTGCGTGTGCGATACAACACTTGACTCAGAACCAGGAAGTGAGCCTCTGATTGACATGTTCAGTGATGATGTCACAGAATAACACTCGTGATGATGTAGCGTACACGTGGAGCGATGTCTGATCAAAGCAGTGTTTATTTATTTACGAATGTCTTTCTCTCCTGCATTTCACATCTGCTCTTGTTTACTTTAGTAAAAAATAGTGAGACATTTCAAAAACTCATTTTTGTTTTTTATGTTTGAATTTGTCTGGGTTACAAACTGAAGAAGCACATTAATCTGTGCAATAGCAGTATGTGTCCGTCATAGTTTCTTCAAGTTAAGCCAGACTTTTATTTTGGCGGCTCGCGGTGTGTGTGTGTGTGTGTGTGTGTCTGATGTGTTTTAATTGTTTTTAAATCTAAACTTGATGGATGGATGTTGTGCATCTCTATTTTGTGTCTGATGGCATCATCAGGTCGCTGTTGCTATGGAAACTGTCTCTCGTGCACTTCTCACGCAGCATCACTTCCTCAATCCTCAGACCCTGGAGTATAAAGAGCCTCACACACACACACACACACACACACACACACATGATTAATGTCACCGGCACATGTTAACGTGAGTGCATGAATCATCCGTGTGTTTGAGCGAGTGTCGTCGTGAGCGTCTGCAGTTTACAATCATCCAATTGCACTGCGGTTTTTCTTTAGTGTTTTCCAACATGCATAAACTATCAATGAGCAATACATTTATTACAGTGTTTATTAATCTTTGTTAATGTCTGTGATTTAAAGCTCAGGTTCATGAAATAATATTAATAGATACAAATTTTGATTTTAATAATGCATTAGTACATGTTGAAATTAACATTAACTAAGATTATTAAATAGTTTTAGTTGTTTACTAATTTCAATCAATAATGATAATCTACCAAATGTTTATATATTTGTACTGGGAAATATGTGTTCAGCCTCATGTTTGTGTATTCAGTGTATAATTTGCGTGTGTGTGTGTGTGTGTGTGTGTGTGTGTGTTTTGTCACCTGTAGAAAGTCAGTGAGAAGGTGGGAGGAGCTGAAGGGACCAAACTGGATGATGACTTCAAAGAAATGGAAAAGGTACACACACACACACACACACACACACACACACACACACACACACACACATTCAGAGAAAATTCTGAAAAAGAAATGTTCCTCATTTATTATGAAGTAAATAAACGTTAGCAACATGTTCATAGAACATATTTATGTTAGCTGGGTTATTACAGTGAAGTGACACAGAAATGACTCGAGTTCTGTTCAGTTTTACATGTGTGTGTTTGTTTGTTTGTTTGTTTGCAGAAAGTGGACACAACGAGCAGAGCTGTGCTCGACATCATGACCAAAACCACTGAATACCTGCAGCCCAACCCTGGTGTGTGTGTGTGTGAGTGTGTGTGTGTGTGTGTGAGTGAGATGCAGTGTATCGGCAGCTCTTCTAAATGTGTGTGTGTGTGTTTCAGCGTCCCGGGCTCGTCTCAGCATGATCAACACCATGTCTAAGATGCGCGGGCAGGATAAAGGTCTCTGTTACCCGCAGGCGGAGACGGTGCTGTCCGAGGCGATGCTGAGGTTCGGCCGCGAGCTCGGGGAAGAGTCCAGCTTCGGTGAGTGTGTGTGTGTGTGTGTGTGTTCAGAAGGATCTTGTGTATCTTCAGTTAGGATATTCTGGTAAACAAACTCGTAGTAGGCCGAATCATCCTGATAGCAGAGCAGGTTTGAGAGCTGGAGAGAGTCACGACTCGCTTTACGGCACGACATCACATGACATCACCAACGTATGAAGCAGCCTTTACGCATGTCAAGCCTAGTTCACACTACGTGATTTTAAGCCCGATTTAAGCCCGATTTGCAAATCGTTGAGTCGCCGACAAGTCATGGGTGTTATCGCGTGCAAATCGCGGGCGATTAGCGGACGATTAACGCTCGCCAATCCGTTAGTGTGAAAGAGCCAACAACGCACCAAAGACAGCTCGCAGACAGGTCACCGAGCTCAGAAAAATATATCGAGCAGTCGCGCGACTCAATCTCAGTGATGTCATGAGTACAGCCAATCATAGCAACGCATGGGTTGAGGACACCAGGTAAATCTTACTTTTTCTTTTTTGCATTTTTTTTTCTCAGAGCAGATCGTCGAGCAAACAGTGTGCAGCACTAGTTTCTGTCTGACGTCCATATTCGCGTGTTGTGTTCTTCTCTGCAGTTTCGCCGCATTTCTGGTTCGTTTTATTGCGTGGTTTTTCGTGACAAAACATGGTTTCTAGACCAGATAGAATCGTGTTGTTGTCAACTCGTTATTTGTTTGATTATTTTCAGGATTTAGACCGTACTATAGTACTGAAACAGCTCTCATTGAGTCACAAATGATATGCTCTTATCATCCGATCGTGGTTGTATCTCTGTGTAGTGCGTTGTTAACTCGTGTAGTGAGTTACCTCCTGTTGTGGATCAATCACGTTGTGTTGTGTGGTGTGAACAGCTAAACAACTTGAACACTCATGATTTCACTGAGAGCAAGTCATGTAGTGTGAACCGCACAGTTCAGCCCGACATTTTAAAATCATGTAGTGTGAACTAGGCTTCAGGCAATGAAGAGGACTGGGATCAGGCATGAGTGACTCCACAGCCACTCTAGGGGGCGCTGTTTGACAAGAATGGAAACTGCATAGTGTGCCTAGAGCAAGTGAACGCCCAAACTACACGCCTGAGTCTTCAGCCAAGATGGCCGCCACGCCTGGGTCTTGGGGTGGTCCGTGTCCGTGCCTGCACAGCCTCTGTTCATCTTTATAGTCTGTTTGTAGTCCAAATGTTCACTGATCCCCCCTTGATTAGTCTCCCCGGGTGTGTGTTGTTTACATGTTAGCCCTGGTGTGTACAGTACAGCCGATCAGCATTTATTCATCAGACTAGCTGACTCAAAATAAGGGTTTTGAAAAATTAGTGTTCATTTTATTATTATCATTATTATTTATTTTTAGACGATAATGATTTGTGTGTGTGTTTACTTAGGTTTGGCTCTGCTGGACGCCGGTGAATCCATGCGCGAGCTCGGCGAGGTCAAAGACGCTTTAGATATAAACGTCAAACAGAACTTCATCGACCCGCTGCAGAACCTGCACGACAAAGACCTCAAAGAGATTCAGGTGCAGAGAGAGAGAGAGAGAGAGAGAGAGAGAGAGAGTGAGAGAGAGAGAGAGTGAGAGAGAGAGAGAGAGAGAGAGTGAGTGAAAGAGTGAGATATAGTGAGTGAGAGAGAGTAAGCTAGAGAAGTTGAATGAGAGTGATAGAGTGAGTGTGTGTGTGTGTGTGTGTTTCTCCTGCAGCACCACCTGAAGAAGATGGAAGGTCGTCGCCTGGACTTCGATTATAAGAAGAAGCGTCAGGGGAAAGTGACGGAGGACGAGCTCAAGCAGGCGCTGGAGAAGTTCGACGAGTCTAAAGAGGTCGCGGAGCAGAGCATGTTCAACCTGCTGGAGAACGACGTACGCTCGCCACACACACACACACACACACACACACACAATGCAAATCTCTGAAAATAAGTGTTTTTCTTTACATTTTGAAGGGATAGTTCACCCAAAGATTATTATTAGCCCCTGATTTACTCCTCCTGCAGCTGGCCATGGGTCGCCAAGAGGACTGCTGCTAATATAACTTCGATGTCGCCACAATAACAGGCCGGCGCGCATATAATAAATGATTCATTCAAGGACGGTGTGCTGGAGCCGCCAAACTCACACACTGAGAGAATCCAGCGTTTAGTTGATCCGTGTGAGCGCTCGCTGGTTTTGTTTCCAGGCGGACCGATAAAGAACGCGACACGCGTCTCGCGGACATCCTGTAGAATTCAACCAATCAGATCGCGACTGAAGTGTTTCCAGAAAAAAGTGTTTCAGACGAATACAATCTGAGTTATGGTAAAATATGTCCAGACTCAGTGTAATTGTCACAGTCTCATCTGCACCATTCTGTCTGCGTCTCCTGCACTACACTTCCCATGATCCTCTTGTCTACACACCTGTACTCACTCCCTCATCAGCCTCCCGTTCAGTGTCTTGCTTCATCAGTTTCACCTGTTTGCACCTCATGAAGTTTGATTCCTCCCTGTATTTAGTTCCCTCTGTTTGGTTCAGTTATTGTCGGTCAGTGTTTGATGTTATCCAGTGTTTGCTCCTGTTCCCTGAATCTTTGCCTGATATTTTGTAAGTAAAAGTCATCTTCTTTTGAATCTGGACTCTGTCTTCCCTTCTGCTTGCAACACGCCGTGACAATAATATCCAGATATCCATGATAAAGTGCATCTATCCATCATGCAATTTTATGATGGACTTCCACAAACAGAAACGGCCAGTATAAAGCTGATATAACTGTGACTGTGTTCGTCTGACAGAAGAGTGTAGGACAGCGTGAGGGAGAGTAGATCATGGGTGAACTAGCCCAAGTCCAAATTGCACATATAAACATTTGTGAATTCCAGTGTTACAGTATATAGTGCACAGTGGTACACACAGTGTGTGAATGTGTGTGTGTGTGTGTCCTTTTCTATTCTATATAAAATAATAAATAATAAAAAATGTTGTGTACTGGGACTCGTCACAGCACTGTTAGTTTGATTGCGTCTTTTGCTCTCCTCATTTGTAAGTGACTGTGGATAAAAGCATCTGCAGCTAAATGATGAACTGTAAAGTGTGTGTGTGTGTGTGTGTGTGTGTGTGTGTGTGTGTGTGTGTGCAGATCGAGCAGGTCAGTCAGCTGGCGGCTCTGGTTCAGGCTCAGGTGGAGTATCATCAACAGGCCGCTGAGATCCTGCAGCAACTCTCCAGCAAGATGGAGGAACGGTCAGCTGACACACTCCCATCATGCACCTGGGTTATCACATGACACGACTCTCCACTGAGAGAGACACTAGTTCACATTAAATCATCAATATATGCTGCAGATGAACTGATTTACCTGTAAAATGAAACAAAATGCCGTTTTCATAGCCTGTTAACGGTCATACCATTGGAACAATTAAACACTCAAAATACTTTAAAACCTTTGAGATATTTACTTTAAATTTGGAGCACTAAGCGGTTTTAGAGTTAAAATATATTTTTAGTAAAAAAATAAAATATTTAGTTAATTTGCTTTACACATGATATTATTTAAAAATGTTAAAATGGAGATTATTGAGATTCTAATCTTGAATTATTATAAATGTTTGCTTGAGTGTGTGTGTGTGTGTGTGTGTGTGTGTGTGTGTGTGTGTGTTACAGGATAAAGGAGGCGTCCAACAAACCGCGGAAGGAGTTCATCCCCAAACCGCGCTTGGAGCTTCACCTGCCCAGCGAGAACCACAACGGAGGAATCAACTCTGCCAGATCACCTGCGCGCTCACCAGGTACACACACACACACACACACACACACACACACGCACGCACACACTCACACACACACTCACACTCACACACTCTCACACACACTCACTCACGTATGCTGTCCGTCTGTGTCTCTCAGCGCCGCTGGATCAGCCGTGTTGTCGCGCGCTCTACGACTTCGAGCCGGAGAACGAGGGCGAGCTCGGCTTCAAGGAGGGTGACATCATCACTCTGACCAATCTGATCGACGACAACTGGTACGAGGGCATGATCAACGGCCAATCAGGGTTCTTCCCTATCACCTACGTGGACATCCTGGTCCCGCTGCCCCACTAGGCCCCGCCCACTACTGGTCCAGCCTAATTAGGCTCCGCCCTCTCCACTCCTGTCTAATTAGGCTCCGCCCACCCCGATTTGTGCTACAGCTTCACTTCCTGTTCCTGTGACTCGGAGGATGATGATGGTGAAGGTCACAGACATTACGGAGTCACATCTGAGTGGAGAAACAGTGCTCAGTGTGTGTGTGTGTGTGTGTGTGTGGATTCACGGTTCCAGATTAATTTATTTGTGCGTGTCACTTCACTCCTGGTAAACCTCACTTGAGGTCACTGCTCACCGAGTCCGAAATTTCCGCACGTTAAAAAATAAACACGACCTCACGTTTTGTCAATCACGTTTACACACTGCCTCCGAACGTTGTATAAAAATTCGTATCGGGTTCGATTTTCTACGTTTTTCGCGTCCATAACAAGTACAATTCACAGCCACCGAATGACTAATACAAACACGTGGGACTCAGTGTGCAAGGACTTTACTCCAGATCTATCCCAGCATGCTTTGCGGAGAGTTCTGGGTGGAGGACAGATTACGTCACCGCTCGCTGTTTGTTACGCGCGTTAAATCACGCTTTTCTCCGGACTGACGTTCTGCCGGATCCTGCCAGAAAAGATTTTACTGCCTGCCGATGCATTTTACACGTAAACTTGCAAAAACACATGTTCTTCCTCAGTGTTTCGGTCTCGTTCTCCAGCGCAAATATATAAACATTCTTAAAACCAAGATCTCACGATTCGTTTTTATCCCTTTCCAATCGAATAAAAAAAACGAAAGGAATTAGCTTTTGGAGTTAAACATTTTTGGTAAAAACTAAAAAGTAATTGCGACTTTTTTTTCCGTCAGTTTTTCTCTCACAATTACGCGTTTTTTGCCACAGAATAAAAGTCTTTTTTTTTCTTGCCAATTATAGAATATAAGATATTTCCGCTGGAAAACAAGAAAAAAATGGTATCACTTTACAAGAACGTTAATTATTGTGTTAACTAACAACGAGCAATACATTTGTTACAGTATTTAATAATCTGTGTTAATGTTAATTATCAGTTCATGTCAGCTCAGGTTAACAGATGCTCTTAATAATGAACTTGGAAATGTTGAAATTAACATTAGCTAATGTTATTGTAAAGCGCAACTTAAAAATACTAAGTAAGAACATTTTTTTTTGCAGTGTGGTTTGTTCGGGTTATTTATTCTTCTTATTGTTCATCATTTCCAGTGAAATATGAAATGCAATAAGGATATTGAGCACAAAGCTGGTTTGTTTAAACCAGTTACCCTCATAAACTAGGTTTGTTTGATCGAAGTCTTATTTTTGAAATGATAAGTGGTATTTCCACGAATGCCAAGTGCGCTGTTTTTGCCGTCGGTTTGTGTGTGTGATCGTTGGCACATTTACTCTAATGCTACTGTATTTCAGTGGGTATTGTCGGTGGCGTGATGTTTGTGAGCACTGAAACTGATGGACTGCAGCGGATGAACATGATCGCCCGTCTCGCGACTGAAGTGTAGCAGCGTTTGATGTTTTAGTGGTTGATGGACGTGTTCTTCAGCACGGCTCGCGCTGTGTGTCGTTTGATGCCTTCAACGTCTCCGGCTTTCATTTGAAACCCGTTCCGTATGTCGATCGCTGCTCGCGGTCAGGCCAGTGTAAACTCGCTTCTCCCGCGGAAAAACAAAAAAGTAAAAATAATTGCGACTTTTTATCTCACAGTTACGACTTTTTTCCACAGAATTCTGAGCAATTAAATCTCGCTATTCATTTTTTTTTCGCCACGGAATAAAAATGTAAAAGTAATTGGAATTTTTTATCTCACGATTATGAATATTTTCGTATAAAGTTTAAATCTCAAAATTCTTTTTTTCTGCCATGGAATTAAAAAAAGTAATTGCGAATTTTGTAGTTAAACATTTTTTTTATCAAAAAGTAATTGCGACTTTTTTCCGTCACTAAAAAAAAAAAAAAGTAATTGCGATTTTTAATCGCACGATTATGACTTTTTCACAGAATTCTGATTTCAGATCTTGCAATTTTGTTTTTTGCCAACAAAATTGGAATAAAATAGGAATACATTTCTTTTAAAAAAATAATTACGACTTTTTATTTTCGCAGCATTCTGTGAGCAAATCTCTGTGAGCAAATCTCGCAATTCTGCCAATTAAATAAAAAAAAAATTTTAAAGGAAAAAAACTGAAAAAAAAAATTCTGCTGCTGTTACAGAAAAAAGAAGGAATTGTGAATTAGTTTTAATCTCACAACTACAAGATTTTGTTTTGCAGAATTCTGAGTTTACATCACAATTCCTGGAATAAAAAAATATAAAACTAATTGTGACTTTTCAATCTCGCATTTATGAGTGTACATCTCGCTATTATATTTTACACCATGGAATTAAACCTTTTTATCTCAAAAATTGTAGTTTCAGTTTTAGTTTATATTAGAGCCATGCAATATGGAGAAAAACACTATCACAATTAATTGATCAATATTGCAATTTTATGCGAATATTTCTCACACACTTGTCTGTTTGTAGCCGTATTTTTGACAGTAATTGCATGCACCATATGGACGTGTTTAACCTCTGCACTTTTGCAGTTTAGAATGGGAAAGACTCTGAATTATGAGATATAATTGCGAGAGGATAAAGTCTGAATGTGAGATAAAAGGTTGCGATTTCCTCTTTTTGTCTTTTGTTGTTCTCGTTTAGAGAGGTCGAGAATTTAGTTTAGAAGTTATTGTCAATTGTAAAATACATCCGTACAAATTAAATGTATATATCTGAATTTAAATGATGCTATTTATTCTTTTTTTAACCCTCTGAGATTTTAAGTTAATATTAATATAGTTTATCAGCACATTTGCATGTTCACGGTTCTCTGATGTCGTTAATGGTCACATGACATGTAGTTAAACACATTTTTCCCGAGCTACAGTAATGAGAATGTAGGATTAAATGTGTTTAATTGTCATGAAAATATTGTCACACTGCATAACATCTAAATGTTATTAAAAACAAACATCTTTTTTTTAATGCAAAATATAATTTCTATAACAATGAAATATAACCTGGGCATTTCTTTAAACGATGCATCAATAATTATTAATATGGGCATTATTGTCAACAAAATCTTGCCTTTGTAATCATAATTTTGAGACAAAAATTTGTTATTGTGACATACTAAGGCGATCATGAGTTAAAAAGTTGAAATTATCACTTAAAAAGTCATAATTATGACCGTTGAAATTAATAAGTTATAATCATGTGATGAAAAGTCGAAATTCCTTAAAGTCATATTGACATAAAAAGTTGAAATTATGACATCACAAGTGAATATACTAAACATTAGGCTAATAATTGAGGGAAAATGTAGTGACATCATAATTATGATGAAAAGTCAAAATTAAAAAAGTCATAATTATGATAAAAAAAGTATGATAATTTTTACTTTTTATGTCAATAATCAGTTTTTTTCCCCATTTGATTGTCATTCTGAATCAAATCTTTATGGTTTCTAATGATTTCATGAAACATCTGCAGTGTTATTATTGATAGTATCATCACAGATTTCCTATCAGTCACATCTGATATGGCAATAATTCAGAAATCACACACTTTGTGAGCTCTATATGAATATATATGAATATTATCTGTGAGTGTGTTTGCACACGCGTGTGTATGGTGTGAATGCAGTCGGTGTGTTTGCACGTGATGTTGATGTTTTCTCTACAGAGGTTCAGCTCTATGGATGGGTTATTATAGTGTAGGTTTGCCATGTTCCTCCGTGTGTTGATCGGGTCGCTGTGCCTGTGCTGGACGACACACGTGACGTGTGCCGCTTGATGTGAGAATAAACCGTTTCTCCTGCAGACTTTAATGAAGCGCTTGAGTAAATGACTTCTGCATGACAAGACGAGCACAGCCTATTATTGGACGTTTAAAGTCCGTCTGTGGAAAAAAATCCAGCGTTTAATGTTGTTTATGTGCGTATGTGGTGTTTTTAATACGCTTTAACACACGCCATGTGCAAGTTCAAACCTTGTAACCAATCAGATCAACGTGTGATCGTCAACTAGTGGATCTCTGAGTGAGTGTAGGCGGGGCTCATTTGCATATTCATAGAGCCGCACATTCTAAATGAGGTGAGGGTGTCGAGTTACATTCAAGATATTTTAAGGCACGAAGAAGGAAAAAGGCGTTTAAATATGCCATTCTGGTGATCAAATATGAGTTTTAAGGGATATAATTATTGACTTTAATACTATAAGATCCACAGACATGTTCATTCAGTCAAAACTCGTTCATTGAAGCGTGTTTTATTAGATTGTGCTGATGACGTGAACCCTGAGAGGTTTTTTAAAAGCGTTATACCAAATGACTTCGAGCTGTTTCGTGTCAAAATGCATGTTTTTAACCTTTACACCCCAAATATGATCCATATATATATACACATACAACTTAGAAAATATTCAGCCCCTATAAGGTTACAGTTGTTTGTACTTGCCTGTAATACTGTACTGTTAAATGTATAATTTAAATAAAAAATTTATTTATTTTATAAACATTCATAAACTTATTTTTTCCAAAAATTTTATCTACTTCTAATATAATCCGTCTCAATCCATCTTGTATTGATTTAAATCCAATTTTTATTTAGTCGTTATTTTTTGTATATTAATCATATGCATTGTCATTCATTTTTACATTATGACAAAAAAAAGTTGTAATTGAAATACTGTCAGAATTATGAAGAAAGGCTAAATATCACATAAAGTCATAATTCTGACATGTTCATAATTATGAGACAATTTTGACTTTAATCTCATAAAAAATCATGATTTTTTCTTTAATGGCATAAAAAATATAATAGCAACATTATGATAGACATGCCTTAAAGATTCAGTTAAAAACATGAATCAAAATTAATAGATCCAGTGAAATAATGCAATAAACTATACGACGTGACAAACCATGATATTTAAAAGAAAAACCCAGGGAATTCTGGGAATGTCAGTTTACACTGTATGAGTATTAGCTCTTTTTTAACATTCAAAAATTGAACATTTAACAGTATCCTACTGTAATGTTTCATTAATCAAACGTTTCATTAAATCTGTTAATCTTTTTTTATTAATTAACATCCCCTTACCTTTGTTAGTCCACTAGAACAATTTCATAAGTCGAGCTCAAATCAGCTTTGAAATGTCATTTAAATTATTTCCATCCATCAAACCTCATCAAGAGCACAGAAAAAAAAAAAAAAAGAAACACAAACTATCAAAGTCTTTAAAAATTTATTATAAAAACGCCCTTCTACACATTACAGGATCAACCGCTAGACGCGTACAAAAATAAAAATAAATCTAAAAAGAGATCACTTGCGTTATTGCTCGAGTCGTTAGACATGTACAAGATGGAAAACACAAAATCAAATCCATCAGTGACGCTGAATTACTCGTCGTCATCTTCATCATCGTCCTCCTCTTCATCCTCGTCCTCCTCATCCTCCTCTTCGTCATCATCGTCGTCGTCCGCCTCGGGCTGGACCTTCTTAGCGGAGCCGGTCGGTCGCCCCGGCGCCTTCTTGGAGGCTCCGCCCCCTGCGCGGTACGCCGCCACCTCCTGCCAATCAGAGAGAGGTCAGACACTAGACACACCCACCTCATTACATGAACATGATGCACTCAAACACACCGCTTTAACGACAATTAAATCACAAATTAGGCACAGATTTGGCTTACATTGTTTACTTAAAGCATTTAAATACAAAACATGCTAAATATTAATTAACACATTTAAATGTGTGCATTTAAGCCAGAACTAATTAAGTATTTCTAGTTGTTAAATGCAAGTTTTATAGATCACACACGCACAAAAATACAAATTGATGTGATTAATCGATTTGACAGCAGTGGTGTGTGTGAATATAATATATACATATCCACATCTAAAGGATTATTAGGAACACTAATACTGTGTTTGACCCCCTTTGGCCTTCAGAACTGCCTTAATTCTACGTGGCATTGATTAATCAAGGTGCGGAAAGCATTCTTTAGAAATGTTGGCCCATATTGATAGGATAGCATCTTGCAGTTGATGGAGATTTGTGGGATGAAGCTCCCGTTCCACCACATCCCAAAGATGCTCTATTGGGTTGAGATCTGGTGACTGTGGCGGCCATTTTGGTACAGTCAACTCATTGACATGTTCAAGAAACCAGTTTGAAATGATTTCAGCTTTGTGACATGGTGCATTATCCTGCTGGAAGTAACCATCAGAGGATGGGGACATGGTGGCCATAAAGGGATGGACATGGTCAGAAACAATGCTCAGGTAGGCCGTGGCATTTAAACGATGCCCAATTGGCACTAAGGGGCCTAAAGTGTGCCAAGAAAACATCCCCACACCATTACACCACCACCACCAGCCTGCACAGTGGGAACAAGGCATGATGGATCCATGTTCTCATTCTGTTTACGCCAAATTTGGACTCTACCATCTGAAATCGAGACTCATCAGACCAGGCGACATTTCTCCAGTCTTCAACTGTCCAGTTTTGGTGAGCTCTTGCAGATTGTGGCCTCTTTTTCCTATTTGTAGTGGAGATGAGTGGTACCCGGTGGGGTCTTCTGCTGTTCAAGGTTGTGTGTGTTGTGGCTTCGCTGAATACCTCGGTTGTAACGAGTGGTTATTTCAGTCAAAGTTGCTCTTCTATCAGCTTGAATCAGTCGGCCCATTCTCCTCTGACCTCGAGCATCAACAAGGCATTTTGGCCCACAGGACTGACCCATACTGGATGTGTTTCCCTTTTCACTCCATTCTTTGTAAACCCTAGAAATGGTTGTGTGTGAAAATCCCAGTAACTGAGCAGATTGTGAAATACTCAGACCGGCCACGCTCAAAACTGCTTAAATCCCCTTTCTTTCCCATTCTGACATTCAGTTTGGAGTTCAGGAGATTGTCTTGACCAGGACCATATTTATGATATATACACACACACAAAATACAAACGTATATATTTATAATATATAACTGCTGTCAAATTGCATCTAAAATACAAAAAAAAAAATATATATATATATATATATAACTAAAATGACTATTATAATATTTAAGCGGTACATTATACTCTATAATCTTCACCTTCTCGTATTTCTCGCGCAGCTTGGCGGCCTTCTGCTCGAACGGCACGCGGTCTTTGGCGCTCTGCTTCGACCACCGCTCTCCAAGCTTCTTCGCGGTTTCTCCGATGGACAGGCCGGGGTTCTCGCTCTTTATCGTCGGCCGATACTCCGCGCAGAAGACGAAGAAGGCAGATCTGCGCAGAGACAGAGAAACCTGTTAGAAACCACAGAGACGTGCACGTTAGCATGCGGTGTGTTTGCGCGGGACGTACGGCGGGCGCTTGGGGGCGTTCGGGTCCTTCTTCTTCCTCCCCGTCTTCCCCACGCCTTTGGGCGGCACGTACGTCTTCATCTCCTTGTCGTAGCGAACCTTATCCACTTTGGCTAGCTCTTCGAACCTGGTCTTCTCGGCCGCGCTCAGCGCCTGTGGACAGAGCAACGGTTAGGTGGACACTAGCTCAGCTACACACGAGCGCGAGACACACACGCGGACGCTCACCCTCCATCTCTCGGAGCATCTCTTGGAGAACTCGGAGAAGTTGATTGGCACGTCGGGACTCTTGCGTTTGTGCTCGTCGCGGGACGTCTGCACGAAGTATGCGTACGCAGACGTCTTTCCCTTGGGCTTGTTCACGTCTCCTTTCACCATGGCTGATCCACTGAAGAAAACAGCGTTAATGAAAATCAAGCATTAAATATAATAAACATTTGCCATAGATTGATTAATTTTGGCATCCATCCAATCTGTTAACATAGCATGTTTTGATTTCAACTTCAATTGCATTACATTGGATATCAGTCAATTAATATTAAATTGCATTGAAATGCATATATATATATATATATATATATATATATATATATATATATATATAACACATTTAAATTAATTTGAGCATTAAATTTATGCATTTTCAACCAGAACTAATATATGCATGTACTATTCCGTATTTGAGGATTTAATGACTGATATCCGATGTAATGCAACAACTCAAATGCAATATATTTTTATTAGTGGAAAACATTTCATGAAAACTCAAATTCACAAAACTGTAATATATCTATGTAAATAAAAATAAATTGCATTGAAATACGTGCATGCGTAAATTATCCGGGGCGAAATTTTTTTTTAAAATGGCGAATTTAAATGTTTGAAAACACTTGTGTTGTTAGTAGGTCGGAGGCTTTTGTTGAACAAAGATTCCTCCATTTTCTTTCCCGCCTATTTCCTTCCATGCACCCCACCCCCTCCCTGATGCCGCTCTCCAAACACATTATATCATCCATAAACCCGAGATTGACTATATTACACGCGCGAAACGGGTCTCGGAGCGCCGTTTCTGTCCCGAATCCCCGTTAAAACACGGTAACTGCGCGCGCGCTCCGGTAACAGAACAACACAAGCGCGCGCGGACTCGCGCAAAACGTTTAAAACCCCTTTAAACCGCATTCAGTGTCTAGTTGTAATGTCGAAAGCGTAGCATTAAAGCGCCGCACACGTTTAACTCGAAAATACATCTTTAAATCGATTTAAAATGTAGTTTTCAAACCAACAAACCTTTTCTTTCTTCTCAGCAGAACAGCACGAACCTCTCCTCAGTTGTGAATCTCCCACGTGATTCCTTTTGCTGCGTGTCTGCGTGACGCACAGAGCATACAGCACCCTGGACTGGGCGCGTGATTGGTCCAGCTTGTGAATAGAGTTGTCCAATCATCGAACGCCTCCTGAGGAATCCGCAGCGCTGATTGGCGGACTGAAACCCTCAGCGGTTCGAATGTTTGTAAACTGAACTCAAAACAACGAACGGATTGACCTTTTAAATATATGCATTGTAATCTAAATTATTACAATAAAATATTTGTAATTATATCATATCAATACAAATGATATAAACTATAATATAAACCACACGTTTAAAATCCCTTCGCTTTTGTCCACTGTTATGATTTTAAGGTTTGTTTTCTTGACGCGGCTAATGCGTTAGCTTAGCCTTGTGTCCAGTGTTTCTGGTGTAATGTTTCTCCGCTCCACGTGGGAGCGCAACAGCGCGCACCCCTGATTCACGTGACCTCACACGCACGCGCTGAAGAAGAGCCGTCTGGTTCACCGCGCGCATCTCAAGTGGCGATCGCCGTTAATATGAATATTTTTGCTCTTATGTTTTAGTCTATTTTAATGCGACAGTCACCGCGGAAGGGTGTGCTTGTGTAGACGGATGGAGGAGTTTCTAAAGCACTTTAAAAACCACAGCAGAGCGGTACATCTATTTCATTTTGTTTATACACACACTTCCTGAGCTCTCTGTCTGTTGTTTATACTTTTGGATTGGCTATCTGGTTTATAAACCATAATTATGCAATAAATTGAAGTTATGACGTCAATAAAAGTTGAAATTATGACGTAAAACATCATAATTGTCGTCAACACGTTTGATCGAAAGAATGGCAAACAAATATACAATTATCACATAGACAGTCATGATTTCGATTTTTTTTAAGTCACAATTTTAACTTAATATATTATTATTTTGACTTTTAATGTCATAATTGCAGTTTACCAAAACATGATTTTTTTCTTATGTGATTTATTTCTTCACGTGCTTCCATAAGAATTACAGATAGATAGATAGATAGATAGATAGATAGATATACATATAGATAGATAGATAGATAGATAGATAGACAGGTAGATATATAGATAGATAGACAGAAAGATAGATAGATAGATAGATAGATAGATAGATAGATAGATAGAGAGAGAGATAGAGAGAGAGATAGAGAGATAGACAGTCATGTGTGTGTGTGTGTTTCAGGATCAGCGCTGGCTGTGTGAGGTGTTCGAGTGTGTGAGACAGCAGCTCTATCCGCTCCTCGACTCGTCTCTGGGTGTGTCAGTGGTGCGTCTGTCTCTGGCGGTGGTGTCGAAGGTCCAGCGAGCCGTCGGCTCGGATCTGCCCGTCAGCTACAGGTGTGTGTGTGTGTGTGTGTGTTAGGCTTGCTATGAAAGTCTGGTGTTCAGAAGCAACAGACATTAACACTATTAAACATGTCTGCCCCATTGGTTGATAAATTAGCTTTTTTTAAGCATTAACTCGCTTAATTTCGATTATTATCTTAGATAATTTTATTCATCTAGTAATTGCATCTTGATTTAAAGGAACACTCGACTTTTTTGGACTTTAGATTATTCACTGTATTCACTTTAGATTATTCACTGTAAGGTATGTATGGACTTATCTAACTCTGATGGATATGATGAATAAGCTAAAGTCTAAAAAAGTCGGAGTGTTCCTTTAAGAGTTTTTAGATATTTGGACTGGAAACTAGACAGAAACCCTGAGTAAGAGCAGCATGTGTGCAGTGTGTCCACCACGGTGAGCTCTCGGTGTCCTCAGGTGTGTGTCGGTGTCGCAGCTGAAGCGCGAGCAGAGAACCGCTTGCTTTAGCAGCCTCAGCTGGAGCTCCGCCCACTACAGGGACAGCGCCAGGGGGGCGGAGCTAATGCTGCCTGAACACAAGCCACTCCCACGCGACAACCTGCTGCTGATTGGCTCTCTGTGTGACGGGCGGGCCAGCGGCTCGAGTGACGGGGTGTGGCGCGTGAGAGACGCTGGAGGGAGTGTGTCCTGTACGGTGAGTGTTACGCCTGAACACATGGATAATAATCAGAAATGTTATTTGCATCTTTCATCTTTCATTCATCAGGTCAATCATATATTCATGAGAATAAATCAGTTTGAATAAGGAAAGCGATATCTTTATCATAGAATCCTTTCATAGGTCAGAGTTTCCACAGTCATCGCTTGTTCTGCACTTTATTTGTTTTATTAGTGCATCTGTGTTTGTCTATTTACCTTTTTTATAATTTGAAAGATAATAAAGCTATTGTTTGATAAGTGAGGTCTCTGAATGTAGTCCTTGAAAACCATAAAAGTAGAGCTTGGAAAGTGGTGGAGTTTGATTGGACAGTGTGTGTACGAACCCTGCTGGATTGATTCTGAAGGATCATGTGACACTGAAGATGCTGTGTGTGGTCCAGATGCTGACGTCGTCTTGTCTTTGGTTGGGGAGGCTGATGCTGTTTCCCACATGGAACTACATCCCCCAGAATGCACCTGACGCGGGTTACCTGGAGCTGATCGACCCTCCGGTGTGCGTGACCCTGGAGGCCATGGCCTTTGACCCCGGAGGAACCCTGAGTGAGGTCATGAGTGTGACGCGGGCGGCTGAACTTCTGAGGCAGAGGTGTGTGACGAAATGATCACAGAAGTTCTGGGATAAACGTTTAAAGTTCGGATATAAGCAAAGATCTCTCTGGCAGCGATTAAATCACCCTTGGAAAGAAACTGGAGACAAGTGACTTGAAATGTGTTTGTCTTTAAATCATTCACTCAAAAGCGTTGATTCATCCAGTCATGAAACAAGTGAAGTCTCTGAGTGAGTCATTGAATCATTCACTGAAGAGATTTGTTCAAAAGCATAAATTCATCCAGTATTGAAACAAGTAAAATCTCTGAGTGAGTCATTGAATCATTCACTGAAGACATTTGTTCAAAAGCGTTGATTCATCCAGTCATGAAACAAGTGAAGTCTCTGAGTGAGTCATTGAATCAATCACTCAAGAGATTTGTTCAAAAGCGTTGATTCATCCAGTCATGAAACAAGTGAAGTCTCTGAGTGAGTCATTGAATCATTCACTCAAGAGATTTGTTCACAAGCATAAATTCATCCAGTATTGAAACAAGTGAAATCTCTTGAGTGAGTCATTGAATCATTCACTGAAGAGATTTGTTCAAAAGCGTTGATTCATCCAGTCATGAAACAAGTGAAGTCTCTGAGTGAGTCATTGAATCATTAATTCAAGAGATTTGTTCAAAATCATTGTTCATCCAGTCATGAAACAAGTGAATTCTTTATGAATGAGTCATTGAATGATTCACTCAACCGATTTTTCTGAAAGATTATTAATTAAAGTTAATAAAATATTGACATTTAATCTGAACCTCTAGTAAATGACATGTTATTATGTTTAGCTGTCTCTCCAGAATTGTGGGTGATATGTGTTGTGTGTGTGTGTCAGGTGTGAGGATCAGGCGTGTGTGTGTGTGAGCGGGCAGGTGAGCGCGGTCTGTCCGCTGCTGCTGATCGCTGGGAAACGCTTCTTCTGCCTCATCCTCAGTGACGGAGGATCCTCAGTGCCCGTCTTCATCACGGTGAGTGTCTGGTACACACACTAATCACATTTAACCTAATTGTGAGTTACAGTCTGATGACTCTTCCATGTGACTCAGGAAGCCAAGCATCAGTACTGGAGGCAGTGTGTGTGTGTGGGCCGGAGTGTGTGGATGTCGTCTCTGCGTGTGTGTTCACTGCAGGGTCTGGAGGGACGGCGCGTGTTGTCCGACAGCTGCCAGTCACGCCTTCATCCGCACGAGAGCTCAGAACAACCAGACACACACTCAGACACACTCACACACACACACACACCCCTGCCGCCAAGCCCCGCCCCCTCAGTCCGAGTCAAGCGCTCCACAATCATCAGCTTCAAGGTGAATAACTACACAATTGAACCGGTTCATATTTTGAACTAATATATTACTTACTATATTAATATATATTTTTTATTAATTTTTAGGGCTGTGCAAAAATTAATTGCGAATAATCGCATCCAAAATAAAAGTCTGTGTTTACATAATATATTTGTGTGTGCTGTATATAATTATTTTGTATATATAAATACACACACATGCATGTATATATTTAAGAAAATTTGTTATTCATATATAAAATATTTATATAATATAGATTATGTAATTATATATATATATACTGTATATATATATATATACAGAATTTAAGTGCAAATAATTCTTAAATATATACATGCATGCATAGGTATTTATATACAAAATAATTATATACAGCACACACAAATATATTATGTAAACACAGACTTTTATTTTGGATGCGATTAATTGCAATTAATTTTTGCACATCCCTAGTAATTTTTGTATTTTAAATAACTAAATTACTATTTTCTGTATTATTTATATTATTACTAACAACAATTTTGTAAAATAGGTTGAAATAACAATTTAAACGAATAAAATGGAAAAAATAATTACTTATATTTCATACTCGTAAACAGAAAACTTCCCTTTAATCAAACGGGTGTGACCTTTGACCTGTGCTGTAACAGTGAGTTTGATTGACAGGGTACAGTCACGAAGATTTTGAACGCAGAGGCGGGGCTTTATGAGATTGACAGACAGGTGGGGCTTTGTCTGGCCTATCAGCCGGCTCAGACATGGGGCGGCAGCTTGAGGCCGGGGGCGGAGATTCAGGTGAGTGTGATGTCATCACAAAAATCAGTAGGACGTTGAACATTTCTGCGAATATGATCTTGTTTTGATGACCAAAAAAATTTAAAATTCTCCAAAATGTGCTCAATAATATTAATATTCAGACTGTGAACATGCGTCTCCTCCCCGAAAACAAGATATAATATCTTATGACATTTACTACTTTAGTAAATCCATCTAGATGTAATGTTTTTTTTTAATATTTGGTCTGGAAACAAGACAACAATCCTAAGTGAGAAGAGCATGTTTTGAGCGACGCAACGGTTATAAAAAAAAAGTCCTGATTTCCTC